AAGACGACGACGACGACGATGATAAAATCAATGCGACATTGAAACGCTGCTCCTACTACAACAGCTTCTGTCGCTACTATCGCTACTACTGCTGCTGATACTACAGCGGCTCAACTACCACTACCTTCAATACCAATATAAATTCCATTGGGAACCAACAAAAAAAATTCATCAAATAGTTTCGCACTTGACATTTTCTTCATCCGAAACGTAAAAAGCAGCTACCACTACTACCACTACTACTACTACTACTACTACTACTACCACCACCACCACTACTACTACTACTACTGCTGCTGCTGCTGCTGCTGCTGCAGCCGCTGCATCAACAATAACGACGACGACATAGCAAAATACGCTTTCTTTTATTCATCTAGACATCAATAAATTAATTAACGCATACAAACAGACCAAAAAATATACACATATACAAATACATACATTCTCACACATATACATACACTACACTCTGCATACACACCTATATACACACATACATACATGAATACACACACACAGACACACATACATACACACATAAATACATACATACATACACACAAACAAACAAACAAACATACATACATACATGCATACATACATACACACATACATACATACATATACAACAGATGTATGCTTGCAGATAAGCAGAACCTCATTTATGTAGCGCACAACAAATTCACGATGTCGTTTATGTTGTTGAAAGTGCTGTTGTTGGTCTTAATGTTGTTAATATTTTTTGATGTTAATGTTGTTGTCATTTTTTGTACTAAAACTTTTCTCGTCTTTGTTTTCACTGTAGTAATAGTAGTCGTACTAATTGTAACAGCTGTAATAGAAGTAGCAGCAAACGAGAGAAGAAGCAGTGGCCAGTGGTAGCAGTAGTAGTAGCAGCAGAAGAATCAGTATTAGATGTGGTAGCAGTAGTGGTAGAAATAGTAATAGTAGCAGTAGTGTTCTAATTTTTATCCTTCTTGCTTTTATTTTCAGTTTTGTTGATGATTTATATCGGAGTTATTGCTGTGCGGAGCAATAATAAAATGGAGCTAATGAGCCGATCTCCAGCAAAATGCAACAACATCAACAACAAAAACAACAACATCCGTAATAACGACAACAACATCAATAGCAACAAAAACATCCATAATAATAACAACAACAGCAACCAAATCGACAACAATATCGACAACAACATTGATAATAACAACAACAGCAGCAGCAACAACAACATCATTTGCAACAACAACATCCGAAATAAAGAACAACAACAATAACATCAACCGCATGGGGGCAAGGTCATTTATTTATCTATTGTTTTCAATTATTAATCCACATAAACTTAGAAGGAAGAAAATTTAATTTCTTTGCTCGCCTAGCATACCGCTCCGTGTTATTTATTTAACGTTTTTTGTTTACTTTCCAGATGTGATTATTCAATATCTTTTGTTTACTTTTCATTGCATCCTTATTTATTGTTTTTGGCTATGCCTACTCGCCTGATAACTGAGTATGTGGCGAATATTAAGATTGTTGTTGTTGCTGTTGTTGCTGCTGTGGCTGCTACTGTAACTGCTACAGTGGTTGTTGTATTTGTTGTTGTTGTTGCTACTGCTGTATATGTTGTTGCTGTTGCTGTATTTGTTGTTGTAGAAGATATTGTAGTCTATGTACATGACTTTGTGATAATAATATTGTGTATATTAAATACATTAATCATTTCATACGTGTACGAAACATTATATATATATATATATATATATATATAAAATAACTTTATTTATTTAGCCATCTATCTATCTATCTATCCAACCAACCATCCCATCCATCCATCCAACCAAAGTATATTATATATATATGTATGTATATATATATATATATATATATATATATATATATATATATTTCATCCATCCAATCTTCCATCCATAAATTCTTTATATATATATATATATATATATATATATACATTTTATATATATATACATTTTATATATATATTTATATATGTGTGTGTGTGTTTGTGTGTATGCGTCTGTTTGATTATTTCATAGAGAAAGATTTTCATCCACGCCATTTGGAAATTGTATCTTAAAAAATCCCATTAAATAATTTATGACGGAAAGAGGTTCCCCCTCTCCACATCGCTTTGAAATTTCACAAGAACTTCAAAACAACTTTTATCTCGTTTTTATTTTCATTTAGTGACAGAGAGAGAGGCAGATAAATACTGAAAGAGACAGCAGACAGGCAGACAAGCAGCAGACAGTAGACAGACAGCAGACACACAGACAGACAAGCAGACACACAGACGGACAAGCAGACAAACGGAGTAAAAGAAATTGTAAGAGAGAAAAAGAAATTGTTAAAAAATAAAACAAATTTAAACAGAGAAACGGATCGTGACAAAAAAAAATTTTGAAAAAACATTAAAAAAAATAAGAAAAAGATAGATAACATGAGAAAAAAAAGATAAAGTGAGAGAAAAAGCAAAGACAGCATTAGAAAAAGTGAAAGAAAGAGAGAGAGAGAGAGAGAGAGAGAGAGAGAGAGAGAGAGAGAGAGAGAACGAAAAAGTGAGAGCGAAACCCGAAAGCCACTAAACGTCAGTCAAAAGAGATGATGCAAACAAGGATTTTTTCTCTTTTTTTCCATTTTCATTTTTCCAGAATTTTTTAAAACATTTTCTCGCTCCATTAAAAATGAAAATCCCTGATTCTCTCATGTTTCCATTTTTTTCCACAGTTTTGGCTGCTGTTGTCCTCGCTGACTGTATGTCAATAGAAGTATATATTAATAAACTAAAAAATGAATGAATGATCAATGAGTTCCTAAATGGATGAGTGAATGAATGTATAAAAAAAGAACAAAAGAATGAATTTACGAAAGGTTGAATTACAAATTGATTAAATTAACCAGAGAAAAGACAGATCAAGTATGGGTTGATTTGGTTAACAAAAAAAAAAAAACAAACGTTCAGAAACAACAACAACAAATGAATGAACTAATGGATGAATATTGAAATGAATGAATGAATGAATGAATGAACGAATAAACGAACGAAAGAATGAATGAATGAATGAGATGTGGACCGGTTTGAAATGGAGATATGACAATAAGATGGACGGCACATCAAAACAACCAATCAAAATTACATTATTTCTGTCACATACACACAGACACACACTTTTTCTCTCTCTCTTTCTCTCTCTCTCACACAGACATGCATACACGTAATTCGATTATAAACCTTGAATGTATTGCAATCAATATATCATCTCATCATCATGCAACCAACCATCACAAATACGTCAACATCTCTCTCACTCGCTCTTTTCTCTTCTTTTTCATCTTCTTTCTTTTCTCTCTCTCTCTCTCCTTCATTTTTTCTTGTTCTCATTCATTCATCTTCTCATTTTTCACAATTTATCTTCCTCTGTGTGTATATGTGTGCGTGTGTCGAAATTTCGATATGCAAATTATTTTTCCTATCCAAAATACGTAATTCTTACCATACATTAACTTTGATTGGTTTTTTTCTCTCTTTATCCCCTCTCTTTATTACTCTCTCTAATTTCCTGCCTCTCATCTTCTTTCATTTTCTCCTCCATCCTTTCTTCTTCCAGATTTCCATCTCACCGTTTCCCATTTCGAATTCGATTCATTATACTTATAATTATAATATTTACTATCATATTATTATTACTATTATTATTATATTAATATTATGAAAAATTATGAAGCCCTGGATTATAGCATTTTCATTACGATTCAACACAAGCAAGGATCATATACGTTTGAGCCATTCGTCTTGGATAAGAAAATCTATCGCAAATATAGATAGATAGATAGATAGATAGATAGATAGATAGATAGATAGATAGATAGATAGATAGATAGATAGATAGATAGAAAAAGATAGATAGATAGATAGATAGATAGATAGATAGATAGATAGATAGATAGATAGATAGATAGATAGATAGATAGATAGATAGATAGATAGATAGATAGATAGATAGATAGATAGATAGATAGATAGATAGATAGATAGATAGATTAATTGATTGATTGATAGAAGGAATGAAAAGTAAATGAATGAATGAATGAATGAATGGAAAAATTCGTGAATTAATTAATTAATTTATTTATTTATAAGAAATAACTAAAAAAATGCTTATAAACATCAAGATAAAATGTACGAATGAATGAATAAATGAATGAATAAATGAATGAACGAATGAGCACAAACAATCGATGAATTAATGAATGAAAGATGAATGGAATGAATGAATGAATGGATAAATGGACGAATGCACGAATAAAGGAACGAACGAATAAGAAACTAAACATAAAAGATATAAACATACGTATTTATTAAAAGCCTAAACAACACACACACACACACACACACACACACACACACACACACACACACACACACACACACACATGGCATCCATGCGTCCTACTTGATAATGGCAATCATAACCATAATAACAATTACATCAACAATAACGCTGACAACAATAACGCTAACAACAACAGAAAGAAATAATAACAATAACGTCAATAAACAATTTATACGACATCATTTTGATTTCATAACATATATATATATATATATATATATATATATATATATATATATATAGAGAGAGAGAGAGAGAGAGAGAGAGAGAGAGAAAAAAGAGAAGGATAGAGAGAAGTGAGAAGTTATATAGACAAATGCATATTTGTATACTAAATAGATGATACTTAGATATAATATATATATATATATAACATATACATAACATATACTTGATGTTATTATAACCAGCAGTGATATTAACTAATGGAAATGTTAATTTATTCATTCGATCAATCAATCATTCATTCATTTATTTATCTACTCGTTCATTCATTCATTCGTTCGTTCATTTGTTCGTTCGTTCATCCAATTATTTTTATTTAGATAGTTCAGGCGTTGTATATAACATTTATTCAAACACACAATTTTTCATTTAACCAATCAATTATTCACTCATTAATTCATTCTTTCACTTATTCATTCACTCACTCATTCATTCATTTTTCATCGTTCATTCATTCATTTAACTGGCTAATTTTTCTTTTCATTTGAAAAACTGAAGCTTCTCTCTAAGCCATTCTTCAGTTAAGTCTTCCAATATTCTGCACTCAAATATCTGTGAAAAAGTTGTTGTAATTAAAATGCGTTAATTAATGAAGGAAAGAATGAACGAGTGAACGATTGAATGAATGAACGAGTAAACGATTGAATGAATAAATAAATAAATGAATGAATGAATGAACAAATGAATGACTGAACGAATGAATAAGTCTCGATCACCATCGCCATAACTAAATTCATAATATTCAACATCATCCCAACAACCATCCATCCGACTCATCATCTTCATTGCAATCATTATCATCATAACAATCATCATCATAACTACCACCATCGTCATCATGACCACCTTAGTGAGCCCAGCGTCGGCCACTAGCGCTCTCATGCTGCCTGCATACATCATCTGCAGTTCGGGACTGCAACCTAAATAACAATAATAATAATAATAATAAAAATAATAACAATAACAATAATAATAATAACAATTACCATCTTCTTTATCATACTCTCAACCACCCTCATTATCATCTCTTCAAAAAAAACCAAAAATTTGAAAAAATTAAAAAAAAAATATTTTCAACCAACCTTGGGGGCTGACGAAGATGAAGCAGAGAGGGTAAGACTTTCTGCCATCATCATGCTCGTATGCATAGCTGTAAACAAGATATCGGGGCTGTGATTCTGGCAGCTCCTCTCTAACTTCGTCGATACTGCAGTCCTGATTAAGATTAGTGAATTAGTAATTTGACCTGATTGGATGATTGTGTTGATTTGGTAAGGTGAGGTCCATAAATAGAAATGTGCTATTGTTTAAACTTAAATATTAAAGAAACAAAATATGATATTGGTTTTAGTGTAATGAGATTTAATATTTCTCTAAGTTACAGTCCCAATTCTGATTAAAATTAGCGAATGAATATTATTGGCTAAGCATTTGTGGTGGGGCCATAAAATAGTGATGGGCTGATATTGATAATAAAAAAGCACTATATTATAATTATAATGTAATACTAACTCTTTTTTCTTCATCAAGAACAACCAATTGTTTATCTTTGTCAATCTTAACTGTCAGGACATGGATAATTATCATAATTTTAATCATTTTACTCACAATTATTCATCCTCATAATCAATATAATTATCATTAACATCATTAGTTGTCATTTTATCACTAACTTATTATGACAGCATTATCAGTTTCCTTTCTGAATCTGAACTTCTTCAATCTTTCCTTCAAGCTAGGATCAACATCACAAACTCTCAGCTCTGTCTTTATTACCCCCAGAAAAATTAAAAATTATATTAAATTAAAATATTAAATGAAATAATTAATTAATAATATAAATTAGTAATTAGAAAAGACACGCCCCCTTTAAAAAAAAGCAGATCAACTAAAAATCCACTAATTTTGCATCCGGTTTTACACAGTACCTAACTAATCACAAAATAAATTAAAATTCTAAAATCAGCTAACCATTCTTAATATTAAACTTTTCGATTAAAATTTTTCCAAAATCGAAAAAAACGATCCTAATTTCAGTGAAATTTAGCAAATTGTTTTACCAACAATAATTTTTCAACACCTTTAAAAATGAATTTTCATTATGAGCACTGTATTATAGGAGTGGACTAGTTTTATGAATAACTCACAAAAATGTTGAAAATAATGCGCTATACAAATTTGTATGTACACACATTCTGCGAAATCCCGGTGCATGATTCCCTTCCTACATATATTCTCAAATACATCGAAAAACTAGATATAAGACATTTTTACTCAATAAACTACACAAATGTTATTGATTTGAATGATTTGAATAAAAAATTTCAATAAAGGTGACCTAAAATGAAATTTTAAACGTTATTAACATAATTATTATTACAGAAACACTAATAAACACAAATAAACACAAATAAATAAACGAAAAAATAATTAAATAAAGTCAAATCTTTACACAGACATAGTGAAAAAAGGTAACTGTAACGTGCTATCAAAATTTTAAAATGTTAAAATGAAAATTTGTATTAAATAACTTTACAAAATATATGTATATTTATTTATTTATATAAATATATATATATACATATCAATTACATAAAGGTGCATATATATCAAGTGTACATATATATGTATCAGTACTGTACTGCACTGTATACACGCACATGTAAGCAGGCGAACAAAGAGCAGTTAAGTAAGTAACTTAGTATTATTATTTGTCATGAGCATCATTCTTATGAGCATTATGGTGTTATTATTATTATCATTCATTATTATTATTATCATTCTTATTATTATCATTATTATTCCAGAGTTAAGATAGAATTTCCAAGATGTGATTGCCAGCAAATATAAAAACGAAATAAATTGCAATCGGTTTTTAAAAGGTTAAAGGTCATATCTATGTACACTCTCTTCAAAAGTTCAAAGGAATCATCAGTAGCACACAGACAGACAGTGTAGTATGTGAATACACGCCAAACGACGCATCATGCACATGGCGGGAATAATTTAGTCGTATTTGAAGCCGCAAACAGTCTGCACTATGAAACAAGATCAGGCGCCTGGCTATCACGCTCCATAAAAGTTATAATAATAATAATAAATATTAATAAAGATAATATTAAATATTAATAATATAATAATAATAATAATGATAATAATAGCAATGAAATAATTAAAATCGAAAATTATGAAGAAATGAAAAAAGGTTGATTGGTCCTATGGAATACTTTGAAATAATTTCACAGAAATCTAAATAATATTAATATAAATTACCATCATCATTTTTGTTATCACTATCGTCATCATCGTCATCATCATCATCACCATCATCATCATCACAGTAATTGTACTTGCGAACCATCGTAAAACTTAGGAACATGGCAATCCAGCTTCATTAAAAAACTTGTCCCAGAAAAATGTCATCTACATTTTCACAAAAATAACCATCATTATCATCAATTGTCATCATCGTCATCATCATCAATATCATGATTAGTATCCGCAACCAACACTTCAATCAACATCATCATCATCGTCGTCATCAGATGATCTGCGGATAGCTGCTACTTAGCTCCTCGTAGCCACGCCTCCGTTTCATGTGGCAGCTTCTGATTGGTAGATAAATAATGGCTGCCAATAAAAATAGAGCCGGAATTCCCAGACCTACCGCTATGATGATGATGGTCAATTTGGAAATTCCATTCTGTGGATGCTGGCCGATACCGAAAGTTAGTTGCCTGAAAAAAATTATAATTATAATATAATATTATTATTATTATAATTAAAATTATAACTGACAATAGCAGCTAGAAACAACCATAATAATGATTGCAGCAGCTACAACATTGTCGTCATCAATTTGTCGCCATCATCATCATCGTCATACTTACCACGTAAGAAAACCAGTTTCAGAGTAGAACTTGTCAGCAGTGGCGCCAAACGATACATTCAAACCAGCCATATTCATAGTTTCCTCACTAAGAGACCCCACCCCATAAAATCCGGTTGCCATTGAAACGGGGATGTGCTGTCCGTCATTAAAATTAAGTTTATTAATTTCATAATTCGTTACCCTCGTCACCGATGTTATAGATTTCTTGGAGTTAGTGTAACAGATAGGCTTCCACTGAACGAAGGTCCCCTGTTTTAGGGATGTGCTGTTTGAAATTTCGTCACTCAACCAGTTCACTGTCTGTTAGTGAGAGCGAAAATTTGTAAATTTGTTTAGTTCGTTATTGGGACGTTAGTGAAGTTATTAATAAGTTGTGAATTTTCACTAGAGATGTGTTGAACACTTTATTACTACTATTTCATTAAAAACGTAAATCACAATCAACATTCAGTCACGCATAATCATCAACTTCCTCATTAATATTCTCGCTAATCACGTGATTATCTCTCCGTAAAAATGGCCGACACCCCCAAAGACTAACCCTGAAAGCACCTGGTGATAGTTCGTCGTCAACAGACTTTTCCACGGAAACGTAGCTGGATACAAATGCTGACTTTGGAGTCAGCATTTGTATCTCAAGAGCTATGCGTGGATTTGTTATCTTTGTTGTGTTTCCAATGTTGTGGCTCTTTTCGTTGATGACGTCGTCATCTCCTTCGTAACCATAATAAACATCTTTGAATGTGACGTCAATTTGTGTGAGATTGTCATTGAGGAGGAGGTGAGGCAGGTCGACTGTACTGGGTTCGAATCCAGATGAGGCTTTCAACTGGTTTTGTATGTATGTATGTATGTATGTATGTTTGCTTGTTTGTTTGCATGTATGTGTATGAGTGTACAAATGTTTGTGTGTACGTTTGTGTAAATATCTAACTGAAAATGTTTGAAAAAATTTAAAAACCACACCTTTATAGAAATTTCTTGAGTTTTATTATTTGGTGCCATCATCTTACTAACAAACTCAACAGCAAGAACATCTTTTGTTGACTGACTGGCCGCCAACCAGTACAAATCGCCCATCCCTATTTTCACTAACTTGTTCACTGATTTATCTGACATGTTGGCTTTGTCACTGGGGTCATTGAATATAATCATCTGTTTGAAGAGTTTGAATTGTTAATGTATAATTTTTAAATTCAATTTTATTGAAATTTTAATGGAAAAAAACAAAAATTGATTTAAATTATTTAAAATAACAAATTTTTAAAATTACTCAATAAAAAAAATAACCTTGTTGAACATTAACAAAGCAGAGGAGAAAATTTTTGTTTCTTCATCACTAAACTTCACACTGTTCTCCTGTTGGGTGATATTTGATGACAAAAACTTCTCCCAATCAATTTTCAGGGAAGCATTTTTAGAAGTCTTAATTGCTAAGATAGATGGCAGACCAAGCGTGGTGTATAAGTAATGAATATCATCATGAGATCCTCTGGCTGTCGTGTGCACCACATTCACACACGTTAAGTTTGAACAGTATGGCGTTGAATCATTTTTTGGGTAAAGATATTCAATTGAGAGCTGAATAAATAGCAGATAAAAAACAAATTAAATTTAAAAAACTACTTCAAATTTTATTTTTATCATCATTTAAAATTAAATGTTTCCTCAGCTAAATAATTATTAAAAGTTCATTTAAATTTTCATGGATCAGCCTATATCCCCACTGATCTGATCAATTCATTTCAGTGGTCCCCACCAAAATATTGTTTGACTAGTGTCTGACTGGTGGTTACCAAGAACCATCATTTAATATTTGGATTTGATCATTACCATTTAGTTAGAGATTAAACATTAAATATTTTTAACTAATCACTAACTAATTTTACGTTCTTATAACTAAATTATATCACATAATTATTAAGTAAAAAATCATCATATGACCAATGAAAACCACAAACATTCATCAATTACTATAATCATGTGACAAACTGAAAAATTAAAAATTTATTATACTGAAGGAGATTAAATTAAAAATCACACAAAATGACAATTTTCATTTACCGATCTAGTTTCATCAACTTTCGATTCAATCAGCCCAACAAAAAAAACTAAAAAAAATAAATTTGAAGGCATTTTTGACGCGATCTTCTTTAATTTAAAACACAAAATGATTAAAAGCAAACCTAACGCCAAATATAAAGCAAGCTAAATTGGAATTTAAACTCATAGACAAAGAATGTTAAAGAAATGTATCAAACATTTTTTCATCAGCATTTTCAGAGTTCTTTGCTAATCTGAAAACAAAAAATTTGAAAAAAAAAAACTATAAAACTATGACGTAATCATAGAAAAAAAATTTACGGACGTAATCTTAAAATTAAAAATTTAAAAAAAATGTTGAAATCAATCTTCTTATATGAAAAAATTACATTCTCGTTGGGAGCACTCCTTTTCTTGACGAATTTTGACATATTTTCATAATTAAACTCTCCAATATAATGCTCCTGCTATGAAAATTCATCGAAAAATAATTTAATTTTATGAAAATGTCATAATTATAAATATAAATATCCTAATTTTATACTTAAACCTTTTTAAATGATGAAAATAACACAAAAGAAGGTATCCTATCTAGATGGACTCCGTTGACTTCATTGGCATGTGCATCCAGCTTATAAATCTTTACATTGGGGACTTTTGAAAATTTGACAGCTAACGAGTGCACGTCGTTCTCAATCTTCTTGCTGTCCGGATATTCAGGAGAATCTAAAAATTTAGACAATGGGTCGTTAGCTAGCAAAAATTTTACTTGTAAAAGAACCGATTGTCAATTAGGAAATAGAATTATAATATCATGACAATGGTATAATTCGCCGCTAACAAAATAAAACATATCTATGTAGGCCATCGTTTTGGTCCATAATTTCCTCATCAAACTGGTCGCCAACCAATTGCATTAGGTAGCCACTGTCCCACTTTTCTTTTATTGGTTCAGATTTTATCATGGGCTGAATGGACGTTTGTGATTGGATGGTAAATAATTTAAACAATAATTGGTCAATAATAATATAGCAGTAGTAGCAGCAGTAGTAATAGAGTTGACAGCAAAAGTAATATTTAGTTTTAGCCTAACTAGGGTAGATGATTCAACTAAATATACAAATCTAATTCAACCCTGAATAAGAAGGTTAAGAATCATTGACCTGACCTTGACATTGCCCACGATGACTTCCTTAATAAACTTCCTAACTTCACTTCTATTGGCCATGAAAGTTTCGTCATCGACTTGCGGCTTGTAGACATTGTGGCCAATGAGACTGAACATTCTAAAAGCTGGACAAGTAGTTGCGTTGACGTTGAAGAGACTCAAGATGTTTTTATTTTCTTCGCCGGCGGGTTCGATGGATATGAATCTAATCTGAATGAAAATAAACGCTTATTCATTTTTTGGGCTTCGTATTGAAAAATTATGGCCGAGATAGGATTCGAACCAGGTCATGGCGCCATCAACACATAACAAAACCTGATCTTTACTATTAGAATTTAATAAGACAAAAATAAAGTAGTACCTAAATATATAAAAAGTGAGTATCAAGTGAGTAAAAATAACTTGAAATCAACTGAAATATAAAAAAAACTATTTAAAATAGACCTTATTTCTATAACCAGCAGCAACAATCTTCATCTTATTCAAAATATTCTTATAACCATCAACATCACTCTTCATAAGAATGACGGCATGGTGGGTGATTTTTTCATTGCCACGTTTGCCAAATATGACGTCAACATGTCTTCGACTCCAAGGAATGATCGTCGGAGTAAGGTAGTTAGTAAGGTGCGAATTCATCCCGCTGGTGCTTTTGAATTTATCAAGGTCTTTAAGGTATGACGGCTCCTCTTCAAACTTTTTAAATCGTTTAATTTTTAATTGTTTTTGTGAGAAAATGTAAAATTTTGTTTTACAATATTTACAAAGCTGTTAGAAAAATGATAAAATTTAATTATTCATTGCCAGTAGTTGCAGTTAAACTAAAATATAAAATATAAAACTTGTACGTTTTTAAAGATAACGATTGTGTTTCCAGTGATTTCATATTTCTTAAATAAATCCTCTCCTTTTGCTAATAAAATTTTTGCTGTCTTCACAACCATTGGCAGACTTTTGAAATAATTCAATGATTGACAGCTTGAACACTGTCGTGATTGGATGGATGATTATTCGATATAAAAGTTATAATATAATTTAATTTAAAATTTTTATGAATGAATATCATCACGGTCCTCTTACTATTGCTGTAACACTTTAAACGCTCGTTACTACCAACACCGATGTTATAACTTCAAAAATCTCTAAACTTCTAACACCAGTGTTGTAGCTTCCAATGATCGTTAAGTTATCGTTATTTAGTAGGTTCCAGATATCCGATAGATGAACACATCTGCTTCAAACGCAAACTTTGTTAAATGTTTATTCGAACGCCAACAGTAATAGATAAACTAAACTAATCCAAGTAACCACATAAACCACAATTACAACTTCGCTTCAAACCTCGCCTGAAACCTCTCTACTCTCTTCGCTATTCGCAACACATAACTTCTACTGTAGATACAATCTTCTATAGTATGAAAAGATTCTATGGTTTCACAATTGATGACAAGTAGCAAAGATAACAAGATAACAATAATTGATTATATAGTATAACACTATGTCATTGTAACATCGTCATTTGGCACTGCTATTACATCAAAACTTGCGACTATTAATAACAAATTTGTTACCTTGAAAAAGCCGAGAATGACGAATTTGTTTTTCTTCAGAAAACTTCCCAACTGGCTTGATCCATTAACACTTTCTAATTTACTGACACTGATAGTCTCTGCTATATAATTCCTCAGCTGCTTAGCACTGGTGAACTGTTCATTCAACAATATTTCAGTTGATTCCTTCCCGAATTTGGAGAAGTATTTCAAAGACGGAAAGATAAAAATGTTCAGTCCTTCAGTCAGTTCACTTTCTAAGTTACTATCAACTATTCCTAACTTTAAATTTGGAAATTCTTTCAAAAGTTTTGATTTATTTTTCGCGAGTTTTGATTGAAAAATCGGCTGTAGTTTATTACACGAGGAACTCCACTGCGTACCTTTTGCATTGTATTGAATTGAGAAACTATATTTATGGTTATTAAACGTCAATTTAGAATTCAAACACATCAAACTAACTTCTGTAAATCAGTTCAGATAAAATGAAACGCATTTAATGCCGATTTTTACGATAAACTTATGCGAAACATATGTTAGTAATGCAAGTTGATAAGAATTTACATTACTACACTTAATAACAGGTTAAAAAAGTTAATCACGTACATTTTATATGTATGTTGTATACAATTCATATACTTTTATCGACTGAAAACCATAATTCATAAACGCATTAATTCACAATATGCAATGATATATATACTATATACATGATAAAATGCATAACACAAGCTAAAAAAACTGACTTTAAGACGTTATACGACGGCAAATAATGGATAAATTAAAGTAACTCACAGAACAAAACCAGTACATCTTCATTAGTTTCGATGAAACTTTTGAAATTTTCATTGGTAAGCGAGGTAGCCTGTATTTCATTGCTATCACTGCTACTTGCGAATGCACTAGTCACTATGGAAATTACTACAAATGTATTAATTATAGAAATCTGGTTGAGAAATTCTGGAGTAAGATTCATGATCTACTTTTAAATAATTAATTATCTAATCAGCAGTATTGTAGATAATGAATAAAATTATAATTATATTATAAATTTAATAGACTACCAGTTAATTAATCTATATTTTAGTTGTTTTTTCGTATTAGTATAAAAAAGATTGAATTCAATTTATACCCTTCAAAGCTGACGTGGACAGCTTTTTAACCGTTGTACTACCTGTTAGTACTATTATTATATAGTTTAGTATATGAAATAATAACTATCTTCATATACATGCATACATATTTTTTATATAATTGAAAAATTTAGTAAGAATATAAGGTGAGAATAGTTGATCTGTCATCAGACCTTATATTTATTTATTTATATATTGATAGATAAGTAGATTGATAGTGTATAAATGCGAAAGCATATGAGCGCATAGACGTATGTATGCATGCCTCTTGCTTTGTGAAAAACCACATATGCCAGAGATAATGTTACACACACATACACACACACACGTACCTATATTTATGTGTGTGCAGTTATCACTAGCATGTGGGATTGTGAAAACATTGAAACTTGAAGAGAGCACGCATATAAAGACGGTAAGAGGAAAAAAACCTGGTTGATATATGTGAAACCAGTTATATTCAATTATTTTTCGTACAATCAAACATGTAGGTATTATATTTTAATACTTTTTTTATCTTTTCTTAAGAAAATTCAATGAAATTTTTTCAATGAACCAATTTTAACAAAGTTATTTTATTAACAAAATTTTATTTACTTTCTTATCTTTTTTTTATAGAAAATTCAATGAAATTTTTTCAATGAACCAGAAAAAGAGATGACAGTCGTTTAACATGTAACAAATCCTAAGACCTCAATCACATATACATATATAACAAATAATAACAATTTCTCGACGAGTTCATCGTTTATATTCTCCCAAATTAACTGGGAATTAAAAAAAAAAACAAGCCAAACACAACAGAAACAATAGCATCATTCATTACAAGAGCCAACAACTGAAACATAAAACCAAGCCAAATGAGACGAATCTGTCCACTTCCACTTCACTCTACAGACAAATTTAATCGGAATTATTTAAGCTTCGAAGAGTTACAACGACGTAACTAGAAAGTAAATAAAAATGAAAATTTAGGAATTCCACAGCAAAATTTAAACGGACTAAACATGGACTATCACGTAGTGATAGCTTGATCATGTTCACCACCATCATTTTCCAACTCTTCAAACTTATCATGCTTCCACTGGCTGAAGTCTGACCTCGATGCTGTAATGTTAAAATTTCAAATTTAAAACAAAAAAAAAACCAACAATGAAATCTGAAAAGTTCAGCCAGTAACCAATGAAAATGCTCAAATTTATACTTACTCCAATTACCTTTCCTTACAAAACCTCTTCCGCCTGGCCTACGAACTCTTTGTTCCACCAGTCCATGTTCATCTCTTTCTCTGTCATCGTGCTAAATTGGTGATAAATACATAAATAAATAATATATATATGTATATGCATGTTTCAACATATTATATGTATGTAATGTGTATGTATGTAATAAATTGATGGATAAATACATAAATAAATAATATATATATATATGCATGTTTCAACATATTATATGTATGTAATGTAATGTACACAGTAGGTGATTAATGTCTGAAAATTATAACAGTAATTGTCAATAAAAAATTTCATAGTTAAGTTACGACAGATACACCCCGAAGTTCGTCAACCAATAATGATATGATTGCTCTTCTCCTTATAAATATTATTTCTAAGAGCAATGTAGAGAAAAAAATGGTATGCATGGTGATAATAAAAAAATAAGAAAGCAATGGATCACCTAGTAGGTCTGTATAGGAACAAAAGAAATCAAAAGAAGATTTACTAACAAAGAAATTATAGAATATGAAAATAATCGTTGCGGTAACAAACAGGAATGAAAAAAAATATGTGGAAAACCTATGTCTAAAATTTTAAGCCAACTCATTTTTTTAATTATACAATCCACTCCAATTAAGTATTTGAATGATCGCTTTAGCAGAACGGTCACACACACACACACACACACACACACACACACACACACACACACACACACAGCTAAATTATATCCAACCCACCTCAAAGTATCTCCCACTTTTAGGAATCATGTCGGGTCGATCTTTCCAGTTGTCGTAAGAATATTTTCCAGGCCTCTTCGAAAAATCAGGTAGTTGTTGATTTTGATTCCTGTCATCTGAGAATTTTTAAAGATGGGCATGAGTATTGGGATAAAATAATTACATGAATTAGTAGATAAATGTAAAAATTATTGACTATGAATGAATAGAGAGATAGTTGATTAAATGAATAATTGGAAAATTGAATGGAGAAAAAATGTCATTACCATCGTCATCTCGCCTCCTTCTCATGCCACCATCATCCTCTCTTCTCCTTCTTTCAACTACATCACCATCTCTCCTCCTTCTCTCACCCAAACCATCATCTCTTCTTCTCTCACCCACACCATCATCTCTCCTTCTTCTAGCATCATCTTTTCTTTCATCATCATTATGCCTTCTATCACCGTCATCATATCTTCTCCTGTCATCCTCATACCTCTTCCCACCGTCACCAAAATTTCTGCCACCACCAAAATTTCTCCCTCCCCCACCAAAATTTCTGCCACCCCCTCCAAAGCCTCTCCCTCTGTCACCAACCCTTCTAAAATTATTAAAATCTGCTTTTCCGCCATCCTTGTCAGCGTCATTTTGAAATTTGGAACCTCCCCACTTTTCAAAAACACTGCTGAAACTTTGCATACTATCATCACCTGCTTCAAGAAACTTGAACTCTGACCTCAGGTTGAATAGTTTCTTATTTTCTAGAGCTTTTTTAGGAATGCAAACTGCCTTGGGGTTTAGGACTTTTGGCACTTTAAATGGCTCCCTGCCTGATATTTTTCTTTCTATTTCGACTGATATCGTTTTGTCAACGTCCAGATGATTAATAGATGTTGAGAGTGCCGAGAATCTATCGTCAAGTGAGAATTCTGTCGTATCAAAGTGATGAATTGTGATGGAGTTGCTGTATTCATCTGTGTCAGCATCTTTTTTGTTGGAGGATGCAGGTTGAAGGTCTGCCAGGCCATCATAGGCAGATACCTTTTCACGTCTGCTCATTTCCTCTCTTCTACTTTTAGGGTAATCTTTCACAAAAAATATTAATATAAAATGTAATTTTCAACCATACAGTTAATAACTGTTATGAAACAAATGTTGAAAAAAATATTCTAGCCTATGTTGGATAATAATATAATTGATATTTAACATTAGTGTTAGTAACTAACTGTCAATAACTGTTAGCTACTAAATTATGGATTAGGATATAAATAAGAAACAAGTAGGATGTTTACTTGTTTAGTTAATGAACTATGAATAAATAACAATTAAAATGTTAATGACAATATCCTAAAAAAATGAATATCTAGCTTACTAATAAACTAAATTAAATAAATAAATAGTAAAAACTATATGTGGTATAAATATTATCCTGACCATTACGGCCATCGACAACTTTTTCCTTTTTGTGTGGCACCGGTGAGTGACTTCTGTCTCTGTCCCTATCTCTTTCTCTCTGTCTTTTATGAGTTGTCGGGTGTTCAACATCTCTGTTCCTGGCATTCTCCCTAGTATTATAAAAGAAAATATATATTAAGGTTTAAATTCAATTAAATTAATTAAAGAAGTTCATAATTTAATTAAATTTTATTTAATTTTAATAATAATTAGATAAAAATCAAAAGTAATTAACCTATTATTTGGACCTTTCTTTCTTTCCCTATCAGTCCTTCCAGGTGCGTGAATGTCCTCCGGATTAGCAGTTCGATGTTGTTTCGACGGTTCTTCTGTAAATTTTCGTCGTCTGCGATTGTTGCGGGGACTTCGCGAATTACCTTTGGCTTTGCTACGACTATGAGATCGACTACGACTACTCATTATTAGTGTTATAAAGCCTTTCCGAATTAACAAATTATTAAATTTATTTAAAAACAATATAAAATAAACTAAAATTGCTATTGTTAGCCTGTAAAACTAGAACTTCAATCAAACAAAATTAAATTACAATTACAGCTCCGTAAATGTTAAACCCTTTTATCGCTCAAATCAAAGAATAGACATTTTTTTACCGGAATTTAGCAAGCCAACATTATACACAGGCTGAAATCACCAAATCAGCGCCACATTCAAAAAAGTATTGAACTATATCGCGTGTTCAGCGTTCTAAGTATATACGGTTCGGTGTTACCTAATGGTACAGTAGAATTAAGCTGGTAAATTTGCATTAGTTAAATTAACTTTTAAACGGTGTCAGTGTACTAAAAGTTCACTAAATTTAAAAAATCTTGTTATGTAAATTGGAATTGACGTTTACTAGTTAAAAAATGAAAGTAAAATGTTTATTCAAACAAGTGGACGAAAAGCATTTACATGCTGAGGTAGATTTGATGCTTTGGTCTCCAAAAATGGACCTAATAGCGTTGAGTATGGCAACTGGAGAAGTTTGCCTGTTTAGGCTGTCCTGGCAGAAAGTTTGGTCCATTCCAAAAATAAATGAAAACGTTTTTGTTTCATGTTTAGCTTGGAGGCCAGATGGTAAAGTGTTGTCTGTTGGTCATACGAATGGTAAAGTTAAGTTGTATAGCATTGAAGATGCTTCACTCATCATTGAACACAACATATCCGATAAACCAATCACTTCGATGTGCTGGGTTGCCGATAGCAGTCCCGACAAGCCGATCCCTGAAAATGTCAAATATTCATTCGAGTCATTAAAGTTACATGATGGTTTTAAAGATGCATCCTCTGAATACTTGCCAGAACTTCCGCCATTGCAAAACAGTCAGGAAGGTTGTAAATCTACAGCCAACATTATGAGGTTGAAAGATTTGAATAATTTGAACATCTTAGTCATCAGTTCTGCAAGTTTTGTTAAATTTTATGCATTTGGAATAATATCCATTGGATATTTAGATACATACAGGGACATCAAGGAGATACTGAATGTCAACCTGTCAGATAGTTTAGTCATATTTAATGTGGTGGGTCTATCAGCAAAAGATTCAGATGTTATTGTGCTGATCACTCACAATTGTGAAGAGCTGTCCAAGAATAAAGAGGAAATTAAACTGATGTCACTTAAATTAGGAGAGGTTTTAACATTGATTAAGTACATGTTTGAAGTTATTAAACAGATGAGTGAAGTCTGGGAAGACATTCTTTTGGAGATTGAATCAAAGTTGAAAAAATTTGCTAAAGATAAATTTGAAGCATCTGGCCATTCATTAAGATATGAGCTTCTCCGACTTCTGTTGTATGGCAACCCAAGTGATGACCTAAAAATATTTATGCAGTTTGATCTCAAGAAGCAGACTCTCACTAAGCTTGGCAACTCTGTGCAGAATTCCTATAGTCAGATTCAGAAGTTGCTTGTTAAGAATTTCACTATTGTGGTGGAGAAAATTTTATTTCATTTGACTGGTTTGAATTAATTTTTCTTCAAATTGAAATTCTTTCTTTTTAAATCTCGCAAATTAATTCAAATTCTAAAAAAAGTTTTGTTTACTTTTAAAAAAATATTAATTTAAGAATCTATGTTTAACATTTTTCTATTTTTCTTTACTTAGGTTTACTAGGGCTTTCAAGATGGCCTGATAAATTCTTAGATCTAGGATTAGATGAAAAATTACTTGAAGAGGCTATGAGTACAACGGGTGCATTGATAATAAAGAGCAATGAAGTGCAACGAGTCATTGATGTCAGCATCAGAAATTTTAGTGCTTTCTATGCCTGGCTCTATCCCATCAAAATGAAATTATCTGGTGAAGTCAGCTCACCTAATTTGGCCAATTCAGGTAATCTAAATCAGCAAGAGATCAATTTTGTTGCTCAGTTCATCAATGAAAATTTTTCATCTGAAGAGGACGTTAAATTAGAGAAAGTTGGCCAGTATTTGAGGAATGAAGACCTTTCAAATCCTGTTTCTGCCCCAAACATACCTTGGGAAACATTCCTTGATAATTATGCGTGTAGTTTTTCCAGTTCACATCGTACATTTTTTTATGATTCATGTAAAAATAATTCTCTGATTCAAGTGGCAAACATGATGCAGAAGAATTTTCACTTTGTACTCGAAAAATGCGCTACAAAAATTAAAGATTTTTTCAAAATCACTCACACACAAAATTTTAGTTATTCATCTCTATCCTCATCTGTAACTCATGATCTAAAATTCACTGTAACCAGTTTGAATATGGGCAACGCCAGTTCAGATCAACACTTACTCTATTCAATTGTATGTTTGCCTGTACTGAAAAAGAATTTTTATTTATTGAAACAAGAGGCGGGATTGGCATTTTCTATTGCCAATCTTTCATTCAAAGAACCAGACATGCCAGAAGCCTTTGATGTAATTGACAGATCATTTTATGACAGCCATTCAATATCACTACTCCTTCAAGATGATAATTCACCCAAAGTTATTCATTACAATCTGAGCTGTTTAGTGCCATATTTGAAGCCTGCAGGCAATGGGATGGACTTGAGTGATGTACCCCAGGAAACAATTTGTGAAGCAATGGAAGAAGGAGAAAGATGTAAAATATTAGAAAACATGAAAGCTTCGAAGTTTGCCATTTCTGGATCAAGAAAAGTTGCTTGCGTTCTGTTTTCTTCACGAAAGAGAGTTAGAATATTCTTAACCGACGTCGAGGAGGAAGACGAAGACGACGAGGATGTCGCGACGGTCAGTATCAATAATTCAAAACTCTCAGGTCAGGAAGAGAGTCATTCCGCTGTTAATGCGAGTAACATGAGAGTGGATGGTGGCAATGATGATGACAATGGAGGTGACATAGATAAAGAAAATAGTGATTCTGTATGATTTATTTGTGATAATTTGTTGTTTTCTTCTAGACTATTTCATTGCAGATATTGTATTATATTGTATTTATTCTTTTCTGTGTTGTGGTACTTTATGTTCCTATTAAAATTGAGCTAAAAAAATAAAGCTGGATGCGTTAGTTTGTGCTTAAGAGGTCTTTGACGCGTATATATATATATGTCCTCTCTTTTTTACATTGCTTAACAAAGAAATCATTTAAAAACTATTCATTTAAATCGAACAATAATTAATATAATAGAATGATGGTGGAACGTTGCTCCATTCGAAAAAATAATATCCAGTAAAAAGACACTCAAACGTTCCAAAATGTTCGATTAACTCTATAATTTTTTTACAAGATTAGGTGCTGACGTTCATCCTCCTGGGCATAGGAATGTATAATTTGGTAATGAAAATCTCGACATTTTTGTTATATAGTATCTTGAATCGACCGAATAGTTATGTAATGCAACACCCACTATAGTTCAAATTTTGTAATATAGCATTGTTATAGTTAATTGAGCTAGTAGTTTATCAATAGATTTGAATAAAATTTAATCTTCTGAGCATGAAAATGTATAAATGAATGATGTAGAAACTATAATTGATTAACAACGTTCACTAGATATATCACATTGGCGTAATGGGAGCTCACTTCTGTCTGAGTGTTTGTTAAAAATATTTGAAATATTTCGGTCGAAAATATCCAATAGTCATTTAATTATCTGTGGGATATTTAAAAAGCAAGATGGCGGATCGTCTATTTAAATTGAGGTTCATTCTTCTAAACTAGACGGCGTGTTATTTAAATTTTTCTGATCGCATTCGTTAGTAAAGTTAGGTAAAAGATTTAATTATTTGCAAGATGTCTCTTGTTCATCTTTTTTCGACATCAATTCTAGCGACACATTTTCAGACTTTTCATCAAATGTAATCAAGGCAAGTTGCTAGAAAAATTAATTAACAATTCTAATTAAAATTTAAACTGATTGGTTGATTGTTTCATTTTATTTGAAGTCGTGCACAGCATTTAAAGGTGCACTAACTAGTCTGTCTGGGGATAAATAAGAAAAATAATTATTTGCAAAAAAAAGTTAGTAAAGTAAAAACTAAAAAAGTAAAGCCTCAACAAGCAGTACTGTCTACTTAATAAACATAACATAACCTGCAAAAATGATGTGTGATGTAATGCCAACAATTAACGAAGATGGCTCCAATGATAGGGACTCCAATTACTCTGGGGATGAGTCAAACTTTGAACAGCTGATGGTCAACATGCTGGATGAAAGGGACAAATTAATGGAAACTTTAAGAGAGACCCAGGAGACGCTAAACACCACAAGGGCCAAACTGCAAGAAGCTGAACTAGACAGAGATGCTTTCCAGAAACAATTATCTATCACACAACCACAGGTTTTTAATTCAACTTTATTGATTTTGTATTCCTTTCTATTAAAAACGTCAATACAGCATTCATTGTACATGTTGTTATGGCATGATGATTTAATTAATTCTTGTACAAAGCTTTAAGAAAAAATAACAAATTTTATTAGGAGTACACAGTTTTGACCAAAGAATTAAACCATGCTCGAGAACAAATATTAGAGAGAGATGAAGAGATATCTGAATTAAAGGCTGAACGAAACAATACCAGGGTAGGTACATTCCTAATATCAGGCAGTTATTATACTAGTAACTATTATTTACATGAAATAATATAACATTTGTTAAATCATTTATATAAAAATAATTTGCAACATCACATAAAACTACTTTTCTCAAAAATTGTTTTCTCACAACTAAAACTCTTCACTTATCTAACTGATCTTCTAATTAGCCCATCTGCATGAATAAAAATAATTAATTTTGCACCAGCTTCTACTGGAGCATCTAGAATGTTTAGTGGCCCGACATGAACGATCTCTCAGAATGACTGTAGTGAAAAGACAGGCCGCCTCGCCAGCTGGTGTATCCAGTGAAGTCGAAGTACTCAAGGCCCTCAAGTCTCTCTTTGAACATCATAAGGCTCTCGATGAGAAAGTAGGTAGATTGGTCGTTGCTTTGATGTGTTTCAAATTTCAAAGACCTTACATGTTGATAATAAAGATTGTCCATACTAGCAATGGTGATGATGTTTGATACTAAATGAAGATAACGTATGATGAAATAGGTGAGAGAAAGATTGAGGGTTGCACTGGAGCGCACAACACAATTGGAGGAGGATCTCAATCTGGTCAATCAGGAGGTAGGCTTTCTGCAACGTGATCCTAATTAATATTAATGAGTTGAATTAATTCTAATAACTACTTACAAACTTAATTAATGGTAATTAATTCATCAATTTATTTTGCCTGTTGTCAATTTTAAGCTATTCCAGCTGAGGGAGAGAGAAATGAAAAGAAGACAGGGTGATGGTGCTGATGATGATCATGCTGCTGGAAGTGTGGATGGCTCAAAAGAGGTGACGATGATGGTGGTGTTGATAAGTTATTCTATTTATGATCATTGATATCATTATTTCTATTTTTCCTTTATTTTTATTTTTCAGATTTCATCATCTTCGTCATCTTTACCATCATCAATGACGTCAGCCTCGACAGCAACAACAATGACATCAACAACAACATCTTCTGCTCAACAACAAAAACCACCGGCAACATCAACAGCTGAAAAGGACCTACCTCCCGAAGTTCAGGACACGTTAGTCAAGTTGTCAACTGATTTGGTAAGCACTAGAAACAAGATGGCCGAACAGCTGATTAGAATCGGAGAGTTGGAGGAGTTGCTGTCAACTGCTCAAAAGGATTTGATGAGGTCGCAGGAGATGAGCGCTAAACTGCAAAGAGATATAAGAGAGGTAGTGCTGATGTAGTGGTGATGTTGCGATTGCAGTGATGTGAAAACTTGTGAGTACCACATTACACATTACAACACGTTATAACTGTATGCTAAAGACAAAAAAAATAACTTCTCCATATCATTGCTATATATACCCCCGCCACAACACTCACAGTCAGTGGCCCAGAAAGAGGACCAGGAGTCGAGGATAGCCACTCTGGAGAAGAGGTACCTGAATGTTCAGAGGGAGTCGAGCTGTCTGGTCGACGTCAACAACAAGTTGGAAAGTGAGGTGGTAACGAAAGATTCTCTAATCAAACAGGTTTGTTGGTTGGTTCTGTGTGACAAAGCAAAGGTAGGTAGGTAGGTAGTTAGGTAGGTAGGTAGGTAGGTAGGTAGGTAGGTAGATTGGTAGATTGGTAGATTGGTTACTGTTTAACCGTTAATCATTCAGTAGACTAGACTGATAAATTGAGAATTTTATGAATGAATAGAGGAATACATGGGCGGATAGATGTATAGATAGTTAGATAGATAGTTCAATAGATAAATGGATTCAAAGATAGTGTGATAGATTATGGATAATATGCCAACCAGCCTACTAGAGCCCCAAGCATATATCTGCAATGCAGATAAAAAATTCTCAAAACTCCGCGGATTTTGCTGTTTGTGGATTTTGTCTGTGCAGTTTGCCGCGAATGCGGATTCAAATCCGTTTTTAAACAACCGTCCGCGAAATTAAATTTTTAATTTTCAAAAACTTCCAGAATAAAAAAATTTTGGTTTTTCGTTTGTTTTCATATATGTACGTGTGTGAGTATGTATGAACCCGTTTTGATGAACAAGCCATGGTTAGGCATGCAATCGTTTCCGAGTTCAACTTTTATCTATGTCCCTGGTCTCGCAGTCAGGTTTCTAGCAGCTTCATCAAGAATGCAAAAAGAATTAAATTTTTGTAATAAAAGTGAAAGGGTTTGTTTTAAATAATTACATTATGTGTGTGTGTGTGTGTGTGTTACAGTATGTATGTGTGTTTAATGGCCATAGCTGAGTCTCTCTGGGGTCCACGTTGATAAAGCCAATAAAGCCAGCTTCTACTAATTACTTCAGTAAATTTGAATGAAGAAAGTTTAATGTTATACACGTCCATGCAATCACACGCACATACATGCATACATTCATGTGTATGTAAATGTGTGTTATACAAAACGTATTTTTGAAGTTTTTCTATCTTTGATACGTAACACAAGGGCTATCATCATCACCATATATATACATATACACACAAACGTATATACAAATTAACATACATATTTAAGTACCGTACATTATAAGTATATATAAGTATATATATATATTGGTACGACCAACATATACCATAACGTCTTCATAAATATTAAACAAATAAGTAGCTTGTTTGAGTTCCTCATTGTCATTCATTTTGTGCTCGTTGTTCAGTCCGATGTTATTTCAATTATTAAATTAGAAATTTATTAAATTCTCTTATAATTCTTCTGGTTATAAGTATATCGTAAATAGATTGCTCCCAAGTATTGCTACCTTCTAATTTTAAACATGAGATTAAGACGGCCTACTTAGGTTGTCTTTTCGCGGGTGGGGTGCGAATGCGGTGCGATGCGGACAATGAGCAGTGCGAATGCGAGCGGCGGTTGCGAGGGTGAACTCTGCGGATGGGTGCGGTTACGATTTGGAAAAATCTTCTCTGCTTGGGACTCTACAGCCTTCGCACACAACAATCAACCAACCGACCGACCTACCAAACAGATGGAAGAAAAATTGAAGCAGCTGAAAGACAAACTCGACCTAACTGAGCAAAAACTCCAACAATCCCTTCCAAAAGCGGCCGCGTTGCCAACGTTGGAGGCCGAACTGAGGCAGAGATTAGAGGCCCTCACCAAGGTTATCATTTGGTATTATGTTTTTTTTAATAACTTTATGAGGATGGCAATCATAAGATCAACGTTGGTGAACATGACGACAATGATGACTCCCACGCTGTGGTGAATTATCGCGATGAATATAGTGATGAAGACGATGATGACGATAATGATAATGATGGTGAGGATGACGACAATAATGATGTTTTTTAGGCCGAAGAGAGACATGGATCGGCTGAAGAGAGGATGAAAGAGCTCGAGATGCAACTATCAGAAAAGGAGTCTGAACTTACTAGGGTCACTACACACTACCGTCATAAATATTACTATACTTATAATTTATAATATAATTATAATACTAATTATATTATTATTGTTAATTATAAAATGAAATATTTTACTATACTTGCGCTTTGTTTACGATTTTTCATCGTAATAGCAGGATGAGTTTTTGAATAATGAATAAATTTCGTTGGCTCCATGTGAATAAACACGTTCTTTCGCCAGCCAGATGGCTATGCAGATAAAATAGTAATAACAATAATTATTTTTATTATCACCATAGGCCAGGAAGCGAGAGAAGATGAACGAGGAGCACAACATGAGGCTGTCATCAACCGTTGATAAGTTACTCACTGAATCGAACGAAAGGTTTGCGTGTATATGCATGCATTTGCATGTACTTTCATCATCAACATTGTCATCGTGACTATTTTTGTTGCTCATGCTATCCCAATCGCAGGCTGCAGTTGCATTTGAAGGAACGCATGCATGCTCTGGAGGACAAGAACCAACTCTCCCTCGACCTTGAAAGGTCGCAGAGGAATCTGGAGGAGATTCTCGCTGAGAAGGTTTTACGAATTGGTTGATTAGACTGGATTGAGTAATTGGTTGATTGATTGATTGATTGTTTTGTTTTCAATTTCTCAAGTTCAAGTATCTGAAATGGATATTAGATTTTTGATTTGTTAGATGGTTGATTGAGTCACTAATAGTTGCTTGATTAACGCTTGATCAGCCTTGCTGTACCACATGACAACAATCCCAACAACAGCACGCCCTTCTAGACCAAATAGATCTCTACAAGAAAGAAATCACATCCCTTAAAGAACAACTGATAACCTCCAGAACAATCCAACATCATCATCAACAGCAGCAACAACAGCTGGAGATGTCAGCGAGTCCTACTCCGGCACCGAGCTACTACTACAAACCTAGTGACGTCATGCTGGACCCCTCTACTACCTCGATTAGAAGGCAACAGAAAGGGAGAGAGATGGCACTGCTTGATGACCCAACTAAGGTTTGTGTTTCTTATTTCTATTCAAAAGGGATTTATAAGATATTTCCTGTATAACGTATAATAGTTGTCATCTTCTTGCCATTCATTGCTTGGTTTTTGCATCATTTTTCATGCTCATCGTCTTCATCACTATCATCGATCATCCTCCTCTTCATCTGCATCATCGCCAGATCAACACTCTTAATGAACAAGAATGGGAAAGGCTGCAGCAGGCTCACATCTTGGCAAATGTACAGCAGGCATTTGAATCGGCTGGCAACTCGGGTGCCGTAGTTGTTGACGGTGTCGTTGGTGGCTCTGGTGGTGTAGTTGTCGACGATGACGGTGATGCCTTTAACGGGGGCGTCGGGGGCGGAATGTTGTCCCCCTCTGGACACACTGACGCCCAGACCCTGGCTCTCATGCTACAGCAGCAACTCGATGCTATTAATAATGAGATTAGGTGATTGCCTGTGACGATGGCGATGTTGTTGTTGGTGATTAATGTCGATGAAAATGTTAAGCATTCCATCCAAATGAAATCGAAACAGGTTGATCCAAGAAGAAAAGCAATCAACGGAGCAGAGGGCAGAGGAGTTGGAATCGAAAGCCGTTATAGGCGGCAGTGCTGCGGCTGGTTCGGGAATGATGGGAGCATCCGCAATGATGGTGGACAGTCGATGGGACGAGCAGCAGATGTACGATAGATCCTCGCCCATTTTAGGGGGTCGACTGACCCCCTCGCCTCGACCATCCCTACCAGCTAGAGACTATGTACCCAAGTATCAGAGTTCCAATAGAGGGAATGTTAACAGCGTTGGAGGGAATAATAATGTTGGTTACTTTTTCGTCGTTTGCTGGTTTGTTTCTTCTGAGTTCACTTTTAATTATCTGTATTTTCATCAGGATGATGTTTTTTTTATCGTTACTTCTTCTTCACATTACCATCCTCTTCGTCATTGTTCCCTTCAATACCATCACCACACACACACCATTTTGCAGATATCCAGCATAGATAGATCAGTGAATCGCGTTGGTGGGGGCGGCGTTGGCGTAGGAGTAGGGGGTAGTGGGGGAGCGGGTGGTTTATACCCCTACTCATCGTCATCTCCACATCTGGCCATGATGGGTGGCTCGGGGACATCCCCTGGAATGGCAGGGAATCAAGTAGACTCAACTGCGTACAATCAGGTTTCGATTGATTGATTGATTGATTGATTAGTTGATTGGTTGGTTGGTTGATTGATTGATCGATTGATTGGTTGATTGATTAGTTGATTGGTTGGTTGATTGATTGATTGATTGATTGGTTGGTTGGTTGGTTGGTTGGTTGATTGATTGATTGATCGGTCGGTCGGTCGGTCGATCGATCGATTGATTGATTGATTGGTTGATTGATTGATTGATTGATTGATTGATTGATTGATTGATTGATTGATTGATTGATCGATTGATTGGTTGATTGATTGATGATGGCTAGCGATATAATGATGAAGTTGAAACCATCACCTCAGCCATCATCATCGTCGTCGTTAGCACCACATTCATTTCATTCATTCCAGGATTTCAACCCACCCACACTGCGCACTCTCCACGTGGAACATTCCAACACACTGACCAACAGGAGTGAGGCATCCTACAGGCACCAACCGTTTGTCAGGTAGGAGGAGTTGCCTTCAAATCCAAAATTTCACTTTCTCACTCTCTTTCTCTCTCTCACACACACAACAACAACACATACACACACGCGTATAAACACGCATATTCTGCAACAAAGCTGCCAATTTGTGAGTTATTTATCATAGTATAATTTCTGTTGATGCAAATGTCATGTCATTTCGCTTGGCTTCTCCATTCGCTTGTTTTTCTGTCTACTGAATAGCACTGATGAGAATGAATTTATTTTAAAAGGCGCTTTACAAATGATTGATAAATAATAATAATAATACAAATAATAATAATAGTATTAATAATAATAATAATAATACAAATAATAATAATAAGAATACAAATAATACAAATAATAATGTACTCTAACATAGATCCATGAATAGCTCGCATAGCATGGCAAGCCAACTGAGTAGCACGCACTCCAGCCAGGACTCCCTGCATAAACAGTCCAAGAAGAAATCTGGATCGGGTCTCAAGAGCTCGCTGGGTAGAATATTTAGTAAGAAGGTGGTAGCTAAGCGTTTTCGTTCGAGTTTACCTAAAAAGTTGAAATTATAACTATAAAAACCACACTGATCATAATAATATTGACATTCTTGTTGTTATCAAAAATTGAAGCAGGACAAAATGATGAGGAAAGACAATACGATGAGCTCTCTGAGTAGAGGAGGGGGTGTCGGCAGTCCGGACGTCATGGGTCAGTGCATGAGAGGGGGTAGTGGGGTTTGTGATTAATTGACTGGTTGATTAGTTGAATGGTTGGTTGGTTTTTTGGTTAGTTTTTCTTCTAATGATTTATTGTTGTAATGCAACTTCCATCATCAGATTCACTATCATTATTTTTTGATTAAATTCACCCAGGACCCCTCTCTCACCCTGACAGCAGTGGTGATGTCATGATGATGGGCAGCGGAGTGGGCGGTGTTGGTGGGGGCGTTAGTGGCAATATCGGTATTTTGGAGTCGAATAATCTTTTGCTGGCCGCCACTGGAACGCTTGGAAGGCAGGCAGAATTCGATAGGCGGAAGAAGAAGAAGTTAGATTGATTGATTGATTGTGTTGAGATGATGAGGAGGAGGAGGATGAGAATGATGATGGTGATTACTTCATCAACCAATTAAAGGAATGAATTGCTAGAAGAGGCAATGAAAGCTTCAACTCCTTTTTCACTTTGGAATGGCCCGACTATTGTAGCCTGGCTGGAGGTTGGCCAGTTGTCTGCTTGATTGATGGGTTGATTGGTCAGTTCATTCATAGATTGATTGGTCAGTTGTTTGGTGGAGGTAATAAATTGGTTGATTAATTGATTAGTTTGAGTGATTGATTGATTGACCAAATGAATACTTATTCAAGTACTTTGCCACCAAACAAATCCAACATCCAACCCACTCACTCACTGACGCATGAAGCTGTGGGTAGGCATGCCTGCCTGGTACGTTGCGGCTTGCCACGCGAATGTAAAAAGTGGGGCCATCATGTCGGCCCTCTCCGACCAGGAGATCCAACAGGAAATTGGCATCAGCAACCCGCTACATAGACTCAAGCTGAGACTCGCCATACAGGAGATGGTCTGCCTAACTAGTCCCTCCGCTCCTAAGACGGCCAGGACAGTTAGTTATTTATTTTTCAGGGATGTGTTTTGTTTTGTTGGTGTGGATTTGTGTTCTTTGTTGAGTTGTTCTTTGTTGAGTTGTTTGGTATACGTGAGTGACGTTTTTATTTTTTGTTTTGCCGTGGTTGCTGATTAGCAGGTATGAACAGTTTTCATTTAACGGCGCCGTGTTCACTAATCCCTAATCACCAGAGTTTGGCGTTCGGGGAGATGAACCACGAATGGATAGGGAACGAATGGCTGCCCTTCCTGGGACTACCTCAATATCGATCTTTTTTCATGGAATGTTTAGTTGACGCCAGAATGCTCGACCACCTGACCAAAAAAGATTTGAGAGTTCAACTGAAGATGGTTGATAGCTTTCATAGGTGGTTCTGCCTGTCTGTCTCTCTGTCTGCCTGTTTGTCTGTCTGTTTGTCTTGTTTGCTTGTATACATTCAAACATAAGATGACATACATACATACATACATACATACATACATACATACATACATACATACATACATACATACATACATACATACATACGTACATATATACATACATACATACATACATACATACAAACATACATACATACAAACAAACATACAAACAAACAAACACACAAACAAACAAACACACAAACATATACAGAACAAGCCTACAGTATGGTTTAAGTTGTCTGAAGAGATTGAACTACGACAGGAATGAACTGGAAAGAAGGAGAGAGGAGGCCACAGACGAATTGAAAGGTCGGTTTTCATTGGTTCATTTATTTTTAGATTACTTGCTCTGATTGGTCGATAAGAAAATAAATGAGTGGAGAAAATTTAATGATCGATTGAAAACATTCTATAAAATCTTACGTCGATGAAAATGATAACAACTCAACACACAAAGCTGATTCATAAAGACTTTTCCATTTGGGCAAACACTAAACTAACATTCTACTCATCATCGAGTCATTTTTATGACCGTCACCATCGTTACCGTTGCAGACGTACTCGTCTGGGGCAATGATAGGGTCGTACGTTGGATACAGTCGATAGGGCTGAAAGAGTATGCCAACAATCTTCTGGAGTCAGGGGTTCACGGGGCCCTCATCGCCCTCGACGAAACATTCGACCACAACAGTATTGCCCTAGCTCTTCAGATACCTACCACTAATTTACAGGTCTGGCTGCTGCTGCTGCTTGTGGTATGGTGTGGTGTGGTCTAATTTGAGGAATTGTGATTTGATGTTTAATGTGGCCACTTTTTTGTCTTCTGCTCGCCATTTTTATTAAAAACCTTTCATTGCAATCACTGTTCTGAGCATCTTTGTCGTCGTAACTGCTATCATTATCACCATCATCGTCATCACTATCATCATCATCATGTCATCATCATCATGTCAACACCATCATCATCATCATTATCAACAGGCTCGTCAGATCTTGGAAAGAGAGTTCAATAATTTAATTGCTACTGCTTGCGACCATAGAAACCACGAGGTGAGGATAATGATGGTGATGGTGATGATAATAATAAAATAATAATAATAATAATGGTGATGTTGATTATGATTGTTATAACAGTTAAACTTGAAGTGATGTTGAATGTGTGGGGATGATAATGAATTATATATTATATATATATATATATTGGACCGTTCTAACTTTTATTCATATGCCATGTCATCTCAGTCGTTTATTCGTTTATTCATTCATTCATCCATTAATTTATCCATTTGTTTATTCATTCATTCATCCATCCATTCATCAATTCATTCATTCGTTCATTCATTCATTCGTTCGTTCAATCAACTGCAGCCCAGAGCCAGAGATAGTTCGCCTCACGATTTTGACGTGAGAGCCTGATGACGATGATGACGACGACGACGAAGAAGATGATGAAATTAATGAATGATGAAGAGGAGGTAGATGATGAGGGAGATGATGGTGGTGGAGAAAGCGAAGAAGAAGAAGATGACGATGATGGTGACATTCAGTTTGGTTTTTTGCGTTATAAATATCAACTATTCCATTATAAGACGTTATTGACGTCTTTGCTCCGTGGAAGAATTGTTATTATTATTAATATTATTATTATTATCATTGTTATTATTATTGTTGTTGTTATTATTATTTTGTTAGTAGCGTTGTTGTTATTATTGCAATTGTTATTTCTAGATGTAATAGTGTTAGCATCGTTTACCAGTTTAATTATTTTATTATTAATTAATTAATTAATATATTATTGTTAATACTCTTATTATTATTATTGTTTGCAGTAGTAGTAGTAATAGTAGTAGTAGTGGTAGCAGTAGTAGTAGCAGTAGCGGTAGTAGTAACAGTAGTAGTAGTTTTAGATTATTATTATTATGTTATTGTTGTTCTTGTTGAAGCTCATTTTATTTGCTTTTTGTTACGTACCAGTTTGGAGCAAAATTGACTGGCCTATATTCTAGTTTATATATTTTTCCACGGCATTATCCATGTCTTCTGTATGCATTTATGTACGATTGTCTGTTTGTATGCGTGTGTGTATAAATGTATGTTTGTATGTATGTATGTATCTATCTATCTATGTATCTGTGTATCTATGTATTTACTTTGTTACTGATAACAAAAAATTACTCATTTATTTTAGTTTGAATTCATGCATACAAAAAACATTGTTTTAAGAATTTCTAGTCTGTTTTATATCGCTTCTTCGTGTATGTATGTTTGTATATGTATGTATGTGTATGTATTCGTGTGTGCTATGTATTTATGTATATATATATGTGTGTGTGTGTAAGTGTGTATCTAAATGTGTTTGTATGTTTATGTGGTACTGCTTGTATTTCTATCAATGAAATGAGTTTGTGTATTTATGCTTGTATGTACTCACAAGTTTGTAAATGTTTGTATTATGAGTGTATTTTCGTTGTATACTTCGATGCATTTATGTGTGTTTGCGATGGTGGTGTTGTACGTTTGTGTACATATGTATTTGTATTTCGTATTTTAACGATAACTTTCTTGGCACGTATGCGTTATTAAATTCGGTAGGATAGAAAGGTGAGCTAAGAATATATATCGGTGCCCGGACCAGGATTTGAACATTCAGTGTTGTCATTTTTTCCTGTTTGTTTATGAACGTTCGATTGATTGATTGATTGATTCATTCATTCATTCATTCATTCAATCATTCATTCATTAATGTGTAATCATTTTCAGATTATATTGGTTAATTTCATTTGTTCGTGCGTGCGTTCTTTCATTTATTCATTTAACTTATTTACTCATTTAATCATTGTTCGTTCATTCATTCATTCATTTATTCGTTCATTGTTGTTTCTTATTTAAGCTTTCCATGATATATATATATATATATGCTTTTATATAGTTATATAGTGTATATATTTATAATTATATGTAGAAGTTATAAGAATGTAGCAAGTAACATGTATCGCAATCAATTATTGTCATCATATTTAGTTTTATCTAACATTGTATGTTGATATATATATATATATACATATAAATATATATATATATATATATATACCATAATAGACCATAATTTTTACAATATTCTATAGAATAGAATATTGTAAAATTTCAATAATTCTATAGAATATTGTAAGAATATATATATATTATATATATATGTTTATATACACCTATATATAAACATTTTTGTATAGCATATGTGTGTAATGTTTTCCAACGTTTTAAACGTGCTAATGTAATCAGCGATTTTATTTACTTTTTAATCTATCTCTTAACTCTTAATCATGTCAAATTTTATTATATATATAACATATATATATATATATATATAGTTTGATCATATATATATATATTCTTTATATAACGCGTCGTTTACCCAACCAGAAATAGGGATGTGTTAATCATTTTTCTTTTGAGTTTCATAAGTTTATTATAGTTATAAGGGCAATGTGCTATTTCTTCGAGCTAGCTATTTGTTTATACTATGGTTATAATAATAATAACAATAATTGATAATAATAATGTTTTGTTATTGTTATTATTTTATTATTGTCTATTATTAATTTTATTGCTATTTTTATAAATATTGTTATCTTCATCATAATAGTTATTGACTGTATTGTCTATTTCTGAGTTACATATATATATATATATATATATATATATATATATATATGTGTGTGTGTGTGTGTGTGTGTGTGTGTGTGTGTGTGTGTGTGTGTGTGTGTGTGTGTGTGTATAGATATATTTATATATATATATATATTATAGTTATATATATTATATATATATATATGTATATACTATATATATCTTCTCATTTATATCGCTGCATACGTTATCTTTATCTGTTATAATTGCATTTTATATCTTTCATCTTTTCATAAGTTACAATAATAATAATAATAATTTTACTATTATTATTATTTTTATTGTGATTTTTATTAAGGCTATTATCAGCAGTAGTATATTTTTTTAGTTTCTACACCCGTCGGTTGATCTTTTTCGATCTATATAATGTTATTGTTGGCGGCTTTTTCCTTAATAGAGAAGATAAATGTTTATTATTATTACTACTATTATTTATTATAAGTAATAATTATGATTAATTATGGATAATAATTATGATTAATTATGGATAATATTTATGATTAATTATATCGTTAGAACTGCGAAATTCCTCAAACTCATCTTTTTTTCTCATTTTTGAGCGTCATTTGTCAACTTGTGTCAACTTGTTATTAATATATATATATATATATATATATATATATATATATATATATATATATATATATATATAAATGTCCTTAAGGTAGAAAAACACACACACATACACACATAGTTTATATATATATATATATATATATATATATATATATATATATATATATATATATATATATATATATATATATGTAATGTCAATGCTAGATTATACCTTTATGTTTAATTTATTCATTTATTTGTTTATAGAGCAAATATTATTGATATTATTAATTAGTGTAAAAGTTGTCCTCGTTAATATTTTAATATATGAAAAAATTATTTTTATAATTTTTGAGGCTTTGCATACTTATACATAGACATACATACAAAGACGTATACACATACACACACATATATATATATATAGAGAGAGAGAGAGAAAGAGAGAGGGAGAGAAAGATGATTAATCGTCTGCCGATACACTGTTAATATTGAAGAGTGTGATTATGAAATGACGACACATTATGAACAAAAAATGATTTTGAGGAAAAAAGATTTGAAATATTGAAAATATTTTATCAGAAGTTTTAACGCGGCCAAACGTTTTTGTATGCTGCCGCAATTTTCGTTGCGTTTTTCTCAATGCTGTTACTAAACTAGAAACTTACTTTCCCCCAAGACTGAAAACCTCACACCTACACAGTTCTAACTTTAAAATTTCTCAAATACGATCGCTCGTTTTGATTTTAACTTATTTAGTCATTAAGCTAAGACATGAAATGTCACTATTGATTATATTTCGTTCTTTAATACGATATATACAAAACCCTTTCATATTATTCAAGTAAGTATAACGAGAAAATCCTCGTCATTGATATTGTCTGAATTTTTATTTAAATTCGTAATCTAAATTTCTTCAATTCACCGTTTTAAAATCCAAGTTAAGTAGTTATCAGTAGGATTTAACGAAATTACAGTTTACATTGCACCTACTGGAGCGATTTATTTTCTTCCTGAACTCGTTGCAGAGATGCAAGCAAGAATAAAAAGCCGGACTGTAAATTTTCTTCTCACGTTCCAGACGATTTAACTCAGCCAAGATGCCCATCGTTGATTGGAGGCCGTTCAAATCCGAATTTTCCGGACCCAGACGGGCCAGTTTATCGGCGTTTACCACATCCAGAAAATTGTCGACGTTTTTGACGTCCTCTGTAGTAAAAACGTCGTACTGATCTTTTGGGGTACTTTTTGAAATTTTTTTATTTAAAGTTTTTGACGAGGGGAAAATGTCGAAGACGTTGTAGACGTAATCTCCGGGTAAGACGCCGCCGGAATCAGTAGAGTCGTCGTCGATATTTGATTTTTTGTTCTCTTCAGTAGATGAGTCCATGTCTGTTTGGCGGTTTTCGACGAATAATTTTGGTTATATTTTTTACAAAAATATGAAATAATGAATCAAATTTATTTTGTGATCAATTCATAAATCGCTTTATAAAAATAACGAATCATACCTCTCAAACTGTATTTTAAGTTATTTCTCAGGCCACCAACACGAACAGTCGTCAGAAGGATAAGAAGAAAGATTATCACATTCATATTCATTACAAGAAATACTTAAAATAATTTTTAATAAAATCAAAATTACGTCGCAATTACTAATTAAAATAAAAGAATAGTTTAATTTTTTTAAATAAAAAATCTCAAGCGAACTTTTCAAAGTCTAAACATTGCTACCACTGACGCCAACAGTCAGTTTAAAATGATTCAGTGCCACTTTTTCTCTAGATTTCCTCCAACACATACATAACTATACATAGTATATACAATATACATATATACACGCACACATATACATTTACTTACATATACATCCATTCATACACGTACATACATCACACATTTGAGCACAAACCAAGAGTTGAACCATTTAGAACGTGTTACTTACATTTATATTACGTACACACGTAGAAACATATATATTTTAAAACAAAGAGCGAGAGAGACACACACTCATTTTTATACCTTTAACACTTATTAACGATGTTAAATGAAGTAAAACCGCTTAAAGCGAATTAAAAATTCATGAGTTCAGCCTAGAACATCCATCATCATACGGACGAATGTATATGCCAGAACATTTCAAAATCTCTCGGGCTTTTGAATAATGGCGAGCTGCTACTGTAGTTTCTATTTCAGAAAAGTTTACGCTCCTATGTTTTTAAATTTTCAGTTTTATTACAAATTTAAAACTGTAAATGAATGAAAAAGATTGAAAGGACAATCGCCTCACGTGATGAAAGTATAAATTAACATTCGACTCAGAGAAAATTATTGTTTGTAAAATATTTATTTAACAATAAGCATCACAAAAATCATTCATTTTTATTGTCCATGTTCAAGTTAGTAGTAGCGTTTCTGTCATCCGAGTTATCGACTTTTATATTTTCAGTTGCATCTTTGCTATCAATCTTTCCTTCAGCTTCACGTTTTGCAGGCTGTCTATTGAATGATGATGACGACCTTCGATTTTTTTCGACATTTTGATTCACTCTAGGAGCGCCATCTCTATCGATCCCCAACAAAACTGCATCAGCTTCCAGTAAAGAAATTCCTTTGTCACTCCCCATGAACTTCGAGGCCAATTCCAAATCAATCAGTCGTAACCTCACCTTTGTGCCTCGTGTATACATGCTGATGAAGAGATATTCAAAAATTAAATATCATCAATGTGTATATACTGCGAAAAAAGAATAATTTATACAAATCTTAACATCATAAGAATGAAAAAACGAGAGAACAAGTCATTCGTTCAATCCCAAATGATAATCACTTACTCTGTTTTATATCTAGGCTTTTTGCAAACGCAATGAAATTTTCCTCCGAAGTCTATGTACAGATTATCGTCCAACGTCTCAATTATCGTCCCGCGAACAACTGCTCCGTTGGGGTCACCAATTTGAATGAATGGAGAATTTTTCAGCAACCTTGCAAATGAAACTTTTTGTGTTTCTTTACTTTCACTTTGTTTCTTTTCAATTTCTTTCAACGATGTTTCGGTGAGTTTCGTTTCTTCGGGTGATAATTGAGTTGAGAGATGACACTTTCCATTTTTCAAAAAACTTAAATTTTTAGATTTATTCAACAGAATCTCGCCATTTCGCAAAAACTTTACACGCAGACCACTTGATATTAGGTTGTACGTGCTACGGATCATTTTTTTGAATTGCGATGTTTACATAGAAAAAAAACCCACCAGCACACTATCTATGCAGTTTCATATATAAATATATATATATATATATACACACACATACAAGTTAGTTTTGTGTACATTTAGACTTACACGTTAACATCACACACACACACAAGTGTACACATCACATACCCATCATGTTCATACACAACACATTTATACACAATCTTCTTCTTTCTTTAACTTACACAATGTAGTTACACACACATACACACACTCATGTACACACACACACATGTACACATCAAATACACGCCATGTTTGTACACAACACATTTTTACACAATCTTGTTTCTCTAACTTAGACATTGTAGTTAGTTAGTAGGTAAAATTAGCTACTTGTGTATTGTGGGAAACAGATGGATGATCTGAATTTATTTATAACAAGTGTGTACAGAATTGATTTACACACACACACAGACATGCATGAAAATATCATTACAGAAAATAAAACTGAATAATAGTGATAGAAATAATAATACAGATGATGATATAATGACAGTTCTTAAACTTAAATGAACAGAATTTCATACTGCAAACAAAATTGAACCGAAATCACGCTCAAACTCTATTGACAAACAAATAAACATGAAAATCACTCTAATGCACAAACACACACATACACACACACACGCATATATATTTACTTGAAAGTAACAGCAGTGAGTGGAAAAACTGTAATTAACATTAGATTGTATTTAACGTGACGAACAACAAAGGCAAATTTTTATGTAAGTTGAAGGTTCATACAATAATAATGACCTCTCTTTTCGTGGTTAAATGTTAAAATTACATAAAAATAAATAATGTAAACCGTGCTTCATTGCCAGCCATTGCACGCTATCTCAACATCACTATAACCATTCTATTCAATTCAACTTAATAAAACTAACTGTAATGGATTCTTAATAAATATTATAACAGTAAAATTTAAAATAATAACAATAAAAGTAATCATAGTAGTAATAATAAAACAAAAGAAAGAAAATGAGCGTCAAAAATAAATAAAATCCAAGAAACTCGCCATCTCTATCGATAACATCCTAAACGTTATGACAAAATCCTAACGAAATAATTTACTAATCAACCAATCAACTAATCAATTAACTAGTCAATCAATCAATTATCTATCCAATCAATCAATTAACTAGCCAATCAATCAATTAACTAATCAATCAATCAATTATCTAATTAATTAATTAAAGTGGAATTTAAATTGGAAGCCCCCGTGACCAAAAGGGTTGAATCCCTCGTGCCACTGCGGACCTCCGGTCTGTTGTTCGGGATCCAGTGGGTCCTCTCCCTGATCAAACTTCGCTCTTTTCTCTGATAGGATGAAAAAGTTAGTGAATGAGTTTTATTGGAGGCAATGATTTAACGACCAAATTGAAAAAATATCAACCAATCAATTAACCACCGTCAAACAATCCTACTACTCGTCCTCCAGCCAACCAATGGACAAAGTCACAAACATACAATAGCCAGGAAACTAACCTGGATCTGATAAAACTTCTTTAGCAGCAGCAATATCTATGAACATTTTCTCGGCATGGCCCTTATCATCGCCGTCATACTGATCAGGGTGCCATTTGGCTGCTAATTTACGATAGGCCTTTGTTATTTCACCCTTCGATGCAGTTCTGCGGTGTTGTGGGTTGATTGATTTGCATGACTGGCTCATTGCAACAAACATACGGACACACACAGACACACACATACAGAGACAAAACATACAAGCAGGTATACTGACCGTTTAACATCTAATATTTTATAATAGTCCCTCTTTTTTGATTGCTTGAGAAGTTTCTGGGCCCTTTTGAGGCCCTCCTGAACCCTGTGGTGATCACTGTATATCTGCTCAGCTTGCTTGAAATCATTGACGGCTGTGTGCGCGTTTGTTTGCATGGTTGGTTGGTTGGTTGCATGGTTGTTTGATTGGTAGCATGGTTGGTTGATTGGTTGGTTGATTGGTTGTTTGATTGGTTGCATGGTTGGTTGATTGGTTGGTTGCATGGTTGGTTGATTGGTTGGTTGGTTGCATGGTTGGTTGGTTGATTGGTTGCATGGTTGGTTGATTGGTTGGTTGATTGGTTGCATGGTTGGTTGGTTGATTGGTTGCATGGTTGGTGGGAGTAAGCAAATTGATTGAACGATTGATTGTTGAGTGCAGTAATTGCAGAATATTAATGAAAAAACTAAATAAATATCAACGACGAAAATTAAAAGATCAACTACTCGATAAACAAATCAATCCTTTAAAACATTTAAACCCACACGCACACACACCCACACACACGCACATACACACACACAACACAGACCTTCTTCAAACTTCTCGTTGAGAATATGCACTTCAGCTCTGTAGCAGAGTGCATCGACATCATTCGGACTCATCTTTAAAACTTTGTTGCAATGTTGAGATGCCCTCTCCGTGTCTTTTATCTAGGTCAGTAATTACATGATTGGCTGGTTGGTCGATTGATAAGTTGATTGATTGATAGATTGGTTGATTGATTGATTGATTTGTTGATTGATTGGTTGAAATTCTAACCTCGAAATAGCATCTGCAGTAATGAGATTCGGCTTTCAGTACAATCGGTTGGACTGTTGATTCACTTTTAAACATCTGGTTGGTCTTACTAATGCACTCATTCCAATCCTTCTTCTCTGTTTAATGGTGAATGAGTGAAAGAAAAGAGTGAGAGAGAGTGATGGCAGAGGAGGAGGTGGATGAATTTGATAAACTTTTAAATTAAAACTAACTTATCAATCATGCTTTCAATCAATCAATCAATCAATCAATCAATCAATCAACCAATCAATCAACCAATCAATCAACCAACTAACCCACCACCACCATCAGCCACACAACTGACCAATAGCAGATTGCACGTCAGTCATGTGCTTGTTCAGTTTCTTGACTTTCTTATAATGATCGTGACAGCCCTTGTGGTCGGCGTCCAGCTTCAGACACTCCCTGATCTCCCTATGACAGAGTAGGAAGATATTGATGGGGATGATGACAAAAAAAAGAAAATCTCAGCACGCACACATCCACATAAACTACAAAAACAAGAAACTTCCCAGCCGCAATGCCATCTACAGCAATAAAAAAAAAACCATTTTCATCGAGTGCACAACCGACTTAGCTTACTTCAAAGAATCTTCGACCTCTCCAACTGAATATAACATTGTGCTCAGTTTCAAATAGCCATTTGTGTTGTCAGGAATTAGTTTAACCGTTGGCCGAATATCTTGGATAGCTTTCATTATGTCACCTACTTTCTCGTAATAAGAAGCTCGAAGTTCATGGAGATGTGCATCCCATATACAAGTCTGTGCGTGTATGTATGTGTATGTGTGTCTGTAAGTATGTGTACATGTGTGTATGTGTGTCTGTAAGTATGTGTACATGCGTGCGTGTTTGTGTGTGTGTTTAGATTTGTATGTGTATGGATGTATGCAAGTATCTACATGATCATCAATGTTATATGCTATTCAACTTCTTTTTAATCATAGTTACAATCACCATTACTGTCGTCCTCATTCTCATCAACATCTTCCTAACCTCAATAGCAACGTTAAGGTACTGTATGGCACCATTATAATCACCGGCATCTGCCAAATGTTTTGACTGAATGATCGATGTTCTAATTGTCGGGATTAGTTGTAGCTGAGATTTGGCCTCCGAGTTGCTCGAGTCCTGGCAATGTTTTTTTGTGTATTTTCTAATTAGTTAGAGAATCTGGTTAGTGAATTAAACAAGGGATGTATGATTGTGCGTATGTAAGTGAGTGTTTAAGACATGAAATTAGTAAAATGGTTAAAAGACAGCTAAAAGTGAACTAACCACAGTTTGATAATCCTGTTCGGCCTCATCTAACTTGCCCTGTTTCAGTTTCACATTTGCTCTCTGCACGCGAGCCTGAGTGTTTAAGTCATTATATCAACCATAGTAATGTTAAAGATGATTTAAACCATTATTAATAAATAAATTGATGGATTGATTTATTGGGTACATAACTTGAAAGAAACAACTTGAGAAAAAAAAACAGAAAAAAGTCCTAACAGCATTAAAATCAGGTTTTAAGACGAGAACTTGATCCAAATCAGGAATGGCCGACTTTGATTTGCCCATTGCTAGGTAGACGGTTGCACGTCGAAAGTAGATCATGTAGTTATTTGGGTCACCCTCTGAAATGGACCAATAGAAATGCATTAGACATTAGTTGACCAATAGTAAAACAGAAAGCTTATGTTCTGGCCAATAGCAATAAAGTATGCATAACTATCTGTCCTATAGCGAAATAGACCAATAGTAAAACAGTAATCAAATTAACTGACCAATAGCAAGATGATAATGTGAAAGGGCATCAGCAAATTGACCAGCTGCCAGCATTTTTTTGCCTTGTTCTAGATGGTGTTCTACATTCGTTGACGATGAACACCTGATGTCTGATGTGTGATGTGATTTGTTAATTTTATTTTTTATTTTATAATACCAACAAATGAATTTTTTATTTTTTTAGAATATTATCAATGAAAACTCAAACATATAAATTATTTTTGAAAAAAATAATAATAATCATATATTTATGAACCTTTGAAAATACTCATCCAGGCTGCCAAAATCATGAAAGAGAGAGCAGATCTCTGAAGCCCAATGCAGGCTGGTAAATCTGCAGATGAAAATAAAGATTTTTTAATAATTTAATAAATTTAATTTGCTGGTAAATCTGCAGATGAAAATAAAGATTTTTTAATAATTTAATAAATTTAATTTGTTTTTTGTCAAATAAAATTTAAAAATTAAACTTATTTGAAACAAAAGTACAAAACTTTCTTGACAGAATTTGAAATTCAAACATTTGCCACATCTCAACCTCCAGACACATCAATCAGGCATGATGGTTAATGAGAGCTTAATCAAAAAATCAGACTCTAACTACTAAATTAAATTTAAGAAACACAAACTGTTGACGTGCACTCCGTAGGAAAACATTGAAAAAACCGCAAAAAAGTTTAACAAAGATAACATTATAAATTTACAAATTAAAAATCACTAATTTGTTTTACTAAAACATCGGGTTAGTTCTCTAAAAAGAAATAAATCCGATATGAATTGAGGAGAAGAACCCATTAAGTAAGAGAAAGTTTATTTGCCTAAAAGTGAATTAAGATAATTAATTTTCGTGTTGCATGGTGATTCGTTGATGGAGAACTTTTGACCACGTAATCACAAGCACAGTATAAAATATTTTATTTTTTTGATACAAATCAAAAACGTCATCAAATTTCTGCATAAATTAACTATAAATGAATTGATGTAATGTTATTTTATAGTTAAATGACATAAAAAGTATCCTAAATCATGTTTTTTTTTGTTTAAGATACCGTATTTTCATGTGTTTAACAGATTTAAAGTATGGACTCATGTAATGTTGTTTGAGATATTAAACCGTATTATTATTAATACAACTGCTGATTTTATTTGTATTATTATTGTTGTTGTTAATAATTTTATTAATTTTGTTATTGGTCTTTAATTTAACGATATATAATCAACCCTCAAACACACAAAAATGTTTTATTCAAAGTTTATTTCAAATTCATGATTTCTGTAGGGAGAAAAGTGTATTAACCGAACCATAACACATAATAACAAAATTAAACTAAGATGTTTTCCAATGACAGCAAGAATAAAAATTACAACTACATTAATAATAATAATATAAAATAATAATATTAATAATAATTATAATAATACTAATAAATTTAGCAAAAATAGACATTATGTCCCGGTACCGTTTGTAGGGTTTCCAACATTTTCGACCTCTTCAGGCAGCAAGCCAATTAACGCGATGAAGGCAAAGCCAACAATGACCAGCAATATTTTACAAAACGTCGTCTTTCCGTGTCCAAGTTGTTCGTAGAATATTTCAAAGAATGTCACGTAGATAAAGGTTCCTGGAAAAAAGGGCAAAAAAATTTCATTTTTGTTATTGTAAATTCATAAATCCTAGTTGTATGTGATCAGATACACACACGCAAAGACAGACACACATCCCTGTGATATCTTTTGCAGTAAGTATAAATTTTAACTAGACAAGTTGCAAATTTTCAATCTTACGATCAACTATTTATTATTCAACTATTTATTATTATTATTATTTTATAATAAAATAAATCAAAGATATGATAATAAACGAACCACAAGCTAGGGCCTGCAAAATTCCATTGACGAGATCCTGCCAGGTGCTGAAACTCGAATGATCACCGATCTCAACAATGGCCGCACCTATAAGAATCCCAAGAGGCATTATTGTAGCAGAAATAATTAATATCACTGCAACTTTTTTCGTCAATTTCCTATCTGTTTTGAAAAATTGAAGTCCTAAGCTAAAACATATAGCCGTCTCGTGGCACAGAACTGCCAAAGTTACGTGCCAAACGTTGCTGAAACTTTTTTGGAGACCTATTGATAGACCTTCGAAGATGTGATGAAGGGATAGGGCGAGAACTAAAACTATCGACCTAGTCGCATTGTGAGAATCGCTTATTTCATCTGAGTGGTGATGTTCTTGTGAGTGAGTTTTGCTCATTTTAGATGTTTCGTCGGAAGATGTAGACGTTAGAATGGAGGCTGAGTTGAGTTCTTCAGGTTCTACGACTATTTCAGCTGTCATTCGTTTCAATTTTTTTCGTAACTTTCTTTTCCTGATGAAAAAAACTAACTGCTCTGAAACGAGGATGAAAAAAAATCCAAAGCCTACCAAAATTTCAGGTATCGGGTAGGTAATATTATTTGGCTTTGTTAAGGATTCTGTTAAAATTTCTCTAACTTCGGGGAAGACGTGCAGCAAAAAAGTCCCAAAAAACACTCCCCCGCCAAAGCATAGCGTGAGATCGAGCCATTTTTGGTTTATTACAACATCACTTTCATCGTCATTTTCAGCATTTTTATTGACTTTAAATTCACCACTTCTCAAACTACCATTGCAATTTAAATTTCCATGCGCCGGATCACTTGTGCACATATCATTCATAATATCATTTGACACGATGAAAATACCGGAGCCATTATTAGTAATATTATTATCATTATTATTGCCATCCTTATCATTGAAATCCCCCTTACAAACGCCATCTTCAGCCACAGTTTTGCCACTTCTACCCAAAAAGACGACATTAGTACAGTCACCGCAATCCACCAAACCGCCGACTGTTTTGTTGAAGTGGCGCCTGGCTAATTTCCTTCTGCAAGGGTAGCAAAGAATCAGCGACAGATAGAACGGAATGAAAGTGCAAACGAGGCCAACAATAACAGAAATCCCAGAGCAAATCAACTTTAATAGCCAGCGTTCCATCATCCTAGTCTAAATTCTATCGAACCCTTCATATGGCTTCTCTTTCAGGCCGTCAAGTAATTAATTAATTCTTATTTAAATACTTCAATTGAATATATAGGTATGTTTTTAAATACGTACGTACGTACGTCTGTATGTATGTGTGTATGTATGTATGTGTATATATATATAAATATGCGCGCGCGTGTGTTGCATTATGTGTATTGTATGTATATGAGTATAATATAAAACATTAACTGTTATTATGTTGAAAATGAAGCTAGACGGTACCTTTGAAACACTCTAACATTCATAAAACTTTATTATTGTTATAATATATTTAGCAATAATAATATTTAGAGAAAAAAGTAGCAAGAGAAAGAAGAAAAAGAATGATAAAAATGTTAGTTCGTACGGGCCTCTTGAGAAGTTAAAAATTCGAAGTTTATAAGTTACCGCAATTAAAAAAAAAATTTTTTTTTTTTGGTTTTAACTGCTTTAAAACGTCATTTAATGCATTTCACTTGAGTTGTTTCATTAATTTATTATTATTAACTTATTATTTATACATTATACTGTCAGAAAGTTGTTTCTTGAAACTTCTTGGCATAAAATCTTTTTCCATTTCCGTGTAGCTAGACCAAACTCTTAACATGTATTAAGATCATTTCCATCTCTCTCTTCTCTCTCTCTTTCTCTCTCCCTCTCTCTCTCTCTCTCTCTCTCTCTCTCTCGTCTAATCTCATTTCTCTACTCCAATACAAAATAATTTATTTCAATTGTAAAAAAATATTTAATGAAATTGTTTGGTGCAAAAACTCGGATGTATAACTTTTGAGACTTTAATCTCAGTAAAGTCAAGAATCAATTAATAAATCGTTGTTATATTATTATTATTATTGTTGTTGTTGTTGTTAATTATATTCTTATAAAATTACCTATATGATGTTAACCACGTAGTAGAAAATATCTGGAATCGAAGTTGTTGTTATTGTTGTTGTTGTTATTATTGTTATTGTTGTTGTTATTATGGTTGTTCTCGTGAAAGTTTTAAAAACATAATTAAACATGCTAACAAATAAATAGGTAGACAAACAAACTAACGAACGAACGAACGAACGAACGAACACATAAAAAACGGCAAACAATTACAAACATATGAAATATGAATGAAGTAACAAAATTATAATAGATTTACAAATTGTGATTCATATTTAAATGCACTTTTAACTCGTCTCCATAGCAACAATTTTTTAGCAGGTGCTCATCAAATCGAGGATAATAATTCCTATTTTGAATATCATTTGCCCGAAGACACATTGTTAGGCGTTCGCGATCCGCTAAAATATTGTTGTTAAAATGTTTGTTGATTGAATGAATTGATTGGTTGTTCTATTTGTTTGATTGGTTGGTTTGGCTGATTGATTTGTCCATTGGTTTGTTGATTGATTGGTTTGTTTGCTGATTGGTTGATTTGTTAACTGCTGATTGGTTGTTTGATTCACAAATTGAAGGATTTGTTTATCTGTTGAATGGTTTATTTGTTGATTGGCCGACTGAATGAATGACTGATTGATTGGCTGATTGAATGATTGGTTAGTTGATTGATTGATTAACTGACTGATTGGTTGATCGATTGGTTGACTGATTGATACAATAGTTAGTTGATTGGTTGGTTGGTTTGTAGACTATGGAGATGGAGCCCTCACACGACATGAAGAGGTATGGTGGAACTTTGAAGGAAGTTAGTTTAAACTTTTAAATCGTAACAATGATAATAACAATATTAATAACATTATTATTTATAATTATAATAATAATTATTATTACTATCATTATTATTTTTAATTATTATTCTTTGAAATTGTTGTCTATATTACCTCCTCTAGAACCATTTGACGATTCCTCAATTTATGATTCACGCTACTGCAACCCCCGTCCTAGAACGTTTGTCAAGCAAAGTTATTATTATTCCTATTTATATAATAATAATTATAATTAATAATAATAATAATTATTATTATTGGCAGTCAATCAATCTATCATTAGATCAATCATTCATTTAATCAATCAATCAGCCAAATCAGTCGTTTTAAATTCATTCAAACAATGCTAATTATGATAAAGATAAAGGATATATATATATATATATATATATATATAAGAATTATTACTAATTATATATTAATTTAACTAATTAATTATTAATAATAATGGAACTATTACTATTATTGTTATTATTTTATTATTTATTTGCTTCTAAAGAAACGACAAGTCCTGGATCTACGAAGGCTCAACTCAAAGCCAGTCATTGAAAATCATAACAATAATAATTTCATTCTCGAAGGTTTATTATTGTTATTATTATTGTCGTTATTAGTGTTTTAATAGTAATAATAATAATAATATTATTATTATTGTTATTATTATTCCTCAGAATCCATCCAGTTAATAAACGGTAATGCTTACGATAACGTTGGTTCCTCTTCGGCAAACTCAACAAATCGGAAATACAACAACAACAACAACAACAGCAACAACAACAACAGCAACAACAACAACGACGTAGATTTAAAGTTTATGGTTGTCAACTACAACCGAGGTTTCCTTGCTATAATTTTCCACCTTATTATTTATACAATAATAATAATAATTATTATTATTTTTATTATATATTAATTATATTAATATAATAATAAATATTATTATTATTTATTGTGAAGATCATAATTATCGTGGGGCCAGCGGTGGTAGCAGAATGTCGGCTGCATCCAGAATGTACATCAGTGAGAACGTTACGGATTTCAGTTTAGGAAAAATTGACTTGGAAAGGTTAGTGTAGGGATTAGTATTTCTTCTTCATCATCATACGCACACCAGACAACTTTCATTCACACCATATAACATGGGATGAACGCCACACTACACTACACACATTACACAACACAGCATTCGAAGCAGATGACCGCGCTATAACAACAACCACAACTTTCTTACCGACTGAGCTATCCAAATAAAAACTATTATTTCAACTTGTTTTTGCATTTAGAATTGTGAAAAGATAAATGAAATGAATATATAGAATATAGGAAATAAACGAAAAAAAAATCAGACAGAACCTGAAATCGATACTGTCCATGGAGGAAGTGGAACAGGTAAGGTTATTGAACTTAAGTAGGAATTGCATTGAAAGAATTGAAAATGTCGGCCAAATGACGTCATTAGTCTACTTGGATCTCTATGACAATCAGATCGAATTCATCGAGAATTTAAACGGGCTTCATTCTTTGAAAGTACTCATGCTTGGGAAGAATAAGTTAATAATTTATTTCTTTGAAAAGTGTTTTTTAGTTGAAAAAAGTTTTTAATCTAATTTTATTCTTCATGTTACGCTGTAAGTATTTAGTCATATTCTTCATTCATATGTTTACAGGGGTGTGAGCGTGTTTTTTCGTGTGTGGTGTGCTTGAAATAGGCGTATGTAACTTTGTTACTATATATATCAGTATATTTCAATTTCTGTGAAAGTTTTAAGAAATTTTCATAAAATCTTTATAAAATTTTTAAATTTTGAAAGGATAAAAAGGATAGAGAACTTAGAAAGCTTACATAGCTTGGACGTATTAGACTTGCATAACAACCAGGTTGTATGATAAAACACAGTGCTAAGCATACATCACTTGAAACAGGGGTGGGCAAGTTACGGCCCGCCAAGCCATTTTAAGCAGCCGGCGAAGCCTTGTACGTAATTTGACGAAAAAATTAATAATGCTATTATGAGCAAAAAAAGATTGTCAGCCACAAATGTTGCTCCCCAGTCAACATTTTAAAAATTCTCCCCCCAATCAACGTTTGAAAGATTTTATATTTATATGTATATATATATATATATATATATATATATATATATATATATATATATATATATATATATATATATGTGCGGCCCTCCAAAGGTATCATAGTTTTCAATGCGGCCCTCACAAGAAAAAGATTGCCCACCCCTGACTTGAAACATACCTAAAGAAACATAAATAACGAACATCTTTCTTATCAATTTCATACTCCATCATATTATATATTGACAAGATGGTATGTGTGATGAATAGATGTGTGTGTGTGTGTGTGTGTGTGTGTGTGTGTGTGTGTGTGTGTGTGTGTGTGTGTGTGTTGTTGTTGTTGTTGATACCTCTGAAAGGTTAATCTACTTCTAATAAAAATAATTTGAATTTTTATAAAAAAAAATAGATAAGGCAGATAGAAAATTTGTTTGAGAACCGAGAACTTCGCGTGTTAAATCTATCAGGAAACTTGCTATGCTCGGTTGATAATGTTAGACACCTGTCGTCTTTAGTGGAGTTGAATCTGAGGAGGAACTATATAAGAAATATTGTAGGGAATCACAATTTTTTAACTATAAGTTATTGAAAATTTTATTAAACATCATTACATTTAAAATAAGTTACTTTACGTCACAAATTACAATAAACTACGTTACATTACAAATTACATTAAGTTATATTTAAATTATTATTGTTTTCTATCTAGAGGGAATTAGATGCGCTGCCTAACTTGCAAAAGCTATACCTCAACTACAACGAAATATCGAGGTAAGCTTTGGTACGTTATAAATAGGTAAGGGTTTAGCTCTTAGAGATTATTAGAGATTATTATTAGAGATTATTAGAGATGTTCTTTTTTAATTTTTTAAAATTTCAAATGCTTTCAAACGTGTTTGTAGAAAGATTTAGAGAATGTTCAATTAGATGGCTGTTTAACTTTTTTAAACGATAAATTAGCTTTTCAAACTCCCAGATTGGAGGACATGGACTGTTTACTGAGGTGTTCTCAACTATTTGAACTGACCTTGGATCACAATCCTCTCTACAAAGCCAAAGTTAACGTTAAAATCCAAATAATCACATCTCTCACTAACTTGCTCTGGTTTGAATCCAAGAAAATAACGGTATGTTTCTATATTTTTCTCTAGTTCTTATGAAATATTTTATATATGCGCCATTTTCAATTTAAAATTTTGTGATCTTTGATTGCAGGATGACGTAAGAAGGCAGGCCGCGTCTTATTTAAAAAAGGATAAAGAAAAAAGGGAAGAAAACTTAAAGATGGCTGCCTTCATAGAGAAGAGGATCATAACGATTTCAAACGCGCGAAAACAATGGGAGACAGGACGGAAGCAGAAGACCTCCATCACCATGCCGAATCTTTTTGTATCTCGAGACGACACTTCCGACCCCGAAACGGAAGTCAACAGACTGTTGATTAAAAGTGAACGAGGTATGGATGATACCGTTTTCTTTGTATGTTAAGAAAGCTTAATTTTATAAAAATAAAATTGAAATGAAGATGGCGATTTTATGAACGAGAGTTTTAGCAGCCTGCCAAGAAACAAGTCTAAAAGGTTTTTTACTCTTTCTTCTTCTCTTTCACTCATAGTTTAAAAAACATTCTGGCTATAAAATATATTATAATATAAATCGAATAAGTAAATGAATAAATAAATGAATGATGAATTAATTAATTTCAATTCCATTTCATTTCGTTGACCCATTTTATTTATTTACGTGCTCCAGTTCTTTGCAAATCCCCACTATTAAAAGAAGCAGAAGAAGATCGAGAGAGTCTATAAGAAACAGCAACAACAACAACAACAATAACAATAATAACAATAATAGTAAGAATAATAACAATAATACTAACGATGATAATAACAATAATAATAACAAGAGTGATGATGATGTCGACGATGACGACGATGATAAACTTTTAGAAGGCAGAATGTAAGTAGCGAAACATTTCTTTTAAATTTATTAATAAATGTAGTTAAAGTCTAATAATAATAATATTTCTACTTGTAGTAACATTTTAACAAAATCAAACCCCACACCAACAGCGAGTCAGAAAAAACCTCGCCCATCCCTGATTCTCTGGCGGAACTCGAGGGTGACACACTCAAATTATTTGGGCTAGGGTCGTTGGGGGCGTTCGATAAAAATTGGGGGGTCCAGGCAGCCGGATGTGCATACGCGGTTCATTTTTCGTTCATAGACTTCGATGAAATCGCAAAAGTTCTACCGAAAATGAGGATAAGATTTCCAAATATTTGCGTTTGTCGCTTATCCATTCTATCATCTACCCTTCCATTCGTTCATTCATTCATTCGTTCGTTCATTTATTCACTCGTTCGTTCATTCATTCATTCAATCGTTCTTTCATTCATTCCTTCATTCATTCATTCATTCATTCGTTCATTCATTCATTTCTTCATTTATTCATTCATTCGTTTGTTCATTCATTTATCTTTTTTTTCTCACCCCACCAACTAAACTTCCAATTTCAGAATCTAACCTTCACGTCAACAAACATCACAACCCTGAGCCAACTCAACGCCCTGGCGAAAGTAAAAAGACTCGAAAGTTTGAGCGTTGAGTCGGAATCGAACCCGGTAACGTCGATATTGTCCTGGAAGGAGTACGCTATTTTTAGACTGGGGTTTTTAGGACTGAAGAAGATTAATGGAGAAATTGTTCGTTTGTTTCTTTATGGCTGAATAAATGTGTGAATTATTTTTAGATGTGTGTTTGTGTGTGTGTTTTTATGGTTTTTTTCAATCCCCAAAAGCTGACACCTAGCGATCATAAATCGTCGGAGAATCATTTCGGCGTCCTATCGTTGCACCTATCAAGATGTCTTCCCTCGTATAAATTGATTGCTCTATTTAATGATAAGTTGGTTGGTTGGTTGGTTGGTTGGCTAGTTGGTTGGTGGGTTGGTCGGTCGGTCGGTCGGTCGGTTGGTTGGTTGGTTAGTTGGTTGGTTGGTTAGTTGGTTGGTTGGTTGGTTGATTAATTAATGAATAGTTTGATTGTTTTGTTGACTGGTTGTATTGAACGATTGGCTTGATTGTTAGATGTAACCGTTATTAAATGAAGAAATAATTCAGTCGTTAATTAATTAATTAATTAATTAATTATCTAATTAAAATTTAATTAATTTTAGGAAAAACCCTCTGCCCCAACCGCTCCAACAACCACCAACATCGTCGTTTTCCTCCTCATCATCGTCATCCTTACTCGCGAACGAAAACCACGTGACGAAAAAATCAACCAATGAAATTGAAGCGGCGTACTTGGTGTCGTCGTCGTCTTCGCCATCGCTTCTACCACCACCACCACCATCGTCATCATCATTTACGGCAACGACATCATCATCAATCCAACCACCATCATCATCATCATCACCACCGTCATCATCATCATCGTTGTTGCTATTTCTAGATCGGAATGAATTGCACTGTCGGTCGCTTTTAACTTACGAATATGATACATCTAATAATAATAATAATAATAATGATAATAATAATAATAATAATAACAACAACAACATCAAAACTTTAAAGGGTAAAAATTTTCAGCTAAACAGTATTAATACTATCTACACTACTGGCAATAATAATAACAATAATAAAAGTAGTAATAATAACCACAATATCGGTTACATCTCTAATACTACTTCTACCATCAATAACAACAACAACAATAATAATAATAACAACAACAACAATAACAACGTTAAAAGGCATTTAAAAGGATTACTTAGCAGGTCGCTGATGAAGAGTCAACAGTTGAGCAAACTTGATCAAGTATGGCCCGAGCTGCTACTAAGTATGGTACGCAGAGCTTTGGCCGACAATTACGATAATAATTATTTGTTATAATTATTAATAATAATTATTATTATTATATTATTATAATATTCGTAATGAATAGTTTTATAACGGACATGGCTATGTTTAACTCAGATAAACTTATTTTTAAAATAATGCAATAATGCAATACTCATTCTCTATCTCTCTCTCCTTTCCTTTCTTTTTTTCTCTCTTTTTCTTTCTTTCTTTCTTTTTCTCTCTCTCTCTCTCTCTCTCTCTTTCTCTTTTTATATTATATATTAACTACTTATGTTCAGCTATTTACACAAGTGCTTGAAATATCATGTGATAAATATTTTCATTCATTTATTTGTTGTATGTTCTTTTTCGTATTTAGTCCTCCATTTGTTCGTTTATTCATCCATCTATCCATCCATTCATTCATTCATTTTTTTTATAATCTATCCATCCATTGATCATTCATCTATGAATCATTCATCCATCCATTCGGTTATTCATCCAACAGTTTATTAAAAAATCAATCTATTCATTTTTAATTCGACAACCAGTAAATCAAATTCATTCGTTCATTCAATTATTCATTCATTCGTTCATTAATTCATTAATTCATACGTTCTTTCATTCATTCACTCATTCAACCAATCATTCATTCATCCATTCATTCATCAAAATTGTTCGCCAGTTCATCTGTCAATGGTTGTGTTGATATATTTTTAACGTGACGCTTCCAAATACTATGACAAAACATTAATAACAAATAAATAAATAATAACAATAAATAAATAATGTAATGAAAATCATAATAATAACAACAATAATAATAAATCTATAATAAATAAATAATAATAAATCATGGCTTTTATTTTTAATCAACTGTGCAATAGGGAAGCAGTCATAAATAAGTTTCACTTATAAAAAGACTCAGACGATATATATATATATATATATATATATATATATATATATACTTTATAAATATAAAAATAATATATATATACATCTATATACTATAACAATAATTAACATTTCAGAGTTTTATTTCTATTGTAATAGCCTATGTTACTATTATTACTATTGTTATTTGTTGTCCTATTATTTTTATTATTATTAGTGCTATATTTATTATTATTATTCTTAATGCATTGTTTTATAACAGGATAGAGTGGGTCGAAAGTTCGTTCATCTTGATGGCTTACGTTAAAATTCATTTAATCATAAATTTAATTAAGTTATAAAAATTTTTTTATACAAAGAGGTCATAATACTTATGTACTTTTGATATATAGTAAATGTACAATGCGTTTCTTCAGTTAAATTGCTTTTAAATGCATTTATTTGTAGCAGTATTTTCAATTTCAATAAACGCACAGTATTTAATTTTATGAATAGCACTCGCACATCCCTATTTTGTCAACCTCAAAGTATAAAAGCGGAGGAGTGTCGCAATTTTCTTATTGCGACGTAATTCGAGCTTTTTGCTGTCTAATTTGAAATTTAAATTTCGAGAAAATATCCAATTAGTTATGGCCGACAAAGAAGGTAAAAATATCGCTCATAGTTTTTTTTTCAAAGTTCTTTTTTCTCATTTATGCTTCCAACTTATTATATTTTAAGTGTCGTATGTTGTCCTGCTGTTTTTTTTAGAGGTTTTGCTTACAAAACATCTGTCTTGTTCATGACATTGGCAGACTGCGAAGTAGTTTTTAGATTTCTTAAAATCTGTCACAAAGCGTAATTTGAAATTTTTGCACCAATTTCAATTTAATAACTTTGTTTTACATTTTTGTCAAATTTATTTCACACAGGATGTAAATGCTGCAAAGCTGGTTGGCTGACATTTTTTTTCAAACCAAGTTTTCTTAGTTTTTTTAGATGTTGCACACACTTTTAATGATTTTATCATTTGTTACTATTAATTGATTTTGTGATAGGAGTGAAGTGCACGTGCACCAAGGAGATGTGCAAGTGTGAAAAGCCTGGGGAGTGCTGCAAAGGTTCTGGTGCTTCTGCTGATGGCTGTGGATGCGGATGTCAGTCAAGTTTTTTGTTTCCTGTTCATTAATTTAGTTACAAATAGTTTAATAAACTTGTAGCAGCTACCATGTTTCTAATTTATTTGTTACTTTAATTTAAAACTTGTTTGCCCATATTAAGTTGCTTTATAATTGTCTTCTGTTGAGCTTATAATTTTATATAGGTCGATAGTTGACAGACTCTGTATTTTAATGTTTCTTTATTAATACTAGGAATTATGCCATTTATGTGATCACATGCTTCCTCAAATTCCTGTATCACATTATTACTCACATTACTGGAATTTAATAAAATTGTTGTTAATATAATATAATAATATATATATATAATATAATAATAAATATTATTTTCAGCCCCAGACTGCAAGTGTGCTGCCTGTTGCAAATGCTCTCCTGGTGCCTGCAAATGTTCCTGTTGCCAGAAATAGATGGCACTGATTCACATCACTGATCTCGTTTAGACTTGTTGTTGTTTGTTGAGTGTTAGAGGCGATGATTGGAATGGCGTTGATAGTGAGATCGTGCTGAATGCATTACGAATGCTTTTTTAAAAAAAAGTTTTTTATACATTTTCTTGTTTAATATATTTAGTTATACATCATGTTGTGTTATGTAATTAGTTCTCTAACCAAGACATTTTGTTTAAAAAAGTTGTTAAAGCTAACTTCATTTATTTGCATTGTACTGCACAATATATACAGTAAGGTAATTGAGTTTGATTTAAATAAATTCATCATGATTTCTGGTTATACTAAAACCTTCCCGTAAATCTGTTAAATAAATATGAAGTTTAATCACGAGCGTTTGTATCTCCTTTCCAAAAAATTTTTTAAATTCCCAAAATCTTCCAACCAATCCTGTAATTACGTTACAGCTGCTGTGAACAATTTTCGTATGGGTTATGTTATTAGATCACAAGTAATTTCAAGTGTTAACTCATTCAAATGCATTTAAAATGTACGCTTGTTTTGCCTTCAGCACGGCCAGCCAGTAAAATACAAATAACTCAGACGTGATAGGATGGAGAATGTATTATCGTTGTTGGGAACGTTCTCAACAAGAGACAGTACAACCTGCATGTTATGTTTTGTTAGTCATGCTTGTAGGGTTTATACCTTATCTTTCTAACGTTAAACAACATCTGATAGCGACGGAATGAGAACAAATGTATTTAACTAGGTGATTTAGCGAAGCGAAGCGAACCGACGCGGGCAAATAATCTTCAAACACACCGTCTTTTTTACATTAAAAATTAATGATAATAATAATAATTTTAAGAATAAATTGATATCGATATCAAAAATAATAACAACGATATTGATATTAAGTGATGACAATGATGATGAAACTAAACTTAAAATTAACTTAAAATTTGTAAAGAATTGAATAAATATATACGTGTGTATGCGTGTGTGTCTGCTACTATGAATCAATATATATAAATTTTAAACGACTAAACCCGTATCGACTGGCCCATTACCTCTATCCCGATCGTGAATATTTTCAAAATCGTTATCCAGAACATCACCATTACTACCAGACACCATGACTAACGACATCAAAATTTTTCACATCCTAGCCTATGCAACAAAAAAATTATTATCAGGACTCCAGCTCCAAATTTTCCAGTTCCTCTTCTACTATATCGAGGTCTTCTCCGTCGAAAAGGTTTTCATCTATTGGTTCGTCGATTTCGATAGCCCCGCCCCTGTCTGCTGTGAGGTCACCATTTGGTTTCGGATTTCCCCGACTGCTATTATTAGCTGTTTTTAAAATGTATGATTTGTAGTAGTTAATTATCATTATCGATGATTTTATTATAGAGATAATTTGTTAGTGGATGTAATTGTTATCAATAGCATCATTTAATCACCCAATCAATCATTCAATTAGTTGACTAACCAATTAACCAATTAATTCATTCATTCAATAAGCCAATCAGTCAATTATTCAACCAACCAATCGGTATGCAAACTAACCCTCAATAAGTTCTCCACAACTAACATCAGCATTACCATTGTTACTAGATGTAGTATCGTCTGTAGTCCTATCAGTAGTATCTCCATAAAGTCTTTTCTGTTGGGGTAACTCGACATAATCTTGTAAAGACTCAGCAAACATGTCAATATTTACTTCCCTAATTTCGACATTTGAATCTGAGCCCTGTACATTAAAAGAAATTTAGAAAGTAATGGATGTTCTTTTTCTGAAAGTGTACTGATGTGCTAGCAAAAAAATGATAAGTTGAGAGGACTTTATGTGGAATAATAAATCACCTCGTCATTATCGTCATCACCATTCTGGTAGACTTCATCATCAGCTTCTTCGTCGTCACCTCTAACAAGGTCAGGGTTGAATTCAAAGAGTTCACGACCACTTATCTATTTGAGTAATTAATTAATTATTTATTTATTTAAGTAATCAATTAATTATTTATTGAAAATTTTTGTGACAGCAGAAGAAATAAAATAAGAAAATCACACAAATTTACCCCAAAAAGTTTGCCAGCAGCAAAATTTGTTTTCTTCTTCTCAGTAGCTGCAAGTGCAGTTTGAATCTTTTGCAAGCGCTAAAAAAATTATTTAATTATTATTAGTCATGATCTTTTGGGATAACTATTCAATTAGAGTACTAACTCATTTGCATGAATTATATTAATGAAAAGAGGAGAGCTGTATATTTACCAGAGCAATCAAGAAAACCTACAAACCTTCTTTTCCTTCCACTTAAGAAAACTTTCCAGTGTGACCCTGGTGAGATTCTGCGAGGTCAAGGCTGCCCTCTTATGTGAATAAATTATTATAATGAGTTCAATAAAATATCACTAAGAATAATAAATTCACAAACAGCTAATACAAACTGGCATCAAACTATCACAATATTTCCAAGCCTCTAAAAAAAATTCACTGTGCAGACCATGGTACACATTTCATTATTACGCAATTAGGTCATGAAGATAATTATGTAATTAGGTCAATCAAAAAGCAACCTCTTTTTCAATGAGGTCCTCCAATGAAATTTGATCTCCTTTGTCTTCTTTCTTCTGATCTTTTTTTAGTACAAAGCCTGGAGGATAAAGACGGACATGATTGAAGAGAATGAACACTTACTTAAACTAATAGTGAACCTTGAAAATATAAATTAAATTTAAACATTGAAGGAAAATTTTCTAACCAGGTGGCAGGGCGTGCCTATAAATGCAGTTTTCACCGTTTGGGCAGCTCCAGAACCAACCATACTTACTTGTCTCGACTGCTTCCAAGAAATATTTACAAATCTGTCGGGTTAGATTTAGAAATGATAAAGAAGATGATGAGGAGGAGGAAAATAATGATGAGAAAACTGATGAAAACCATGAAGTTAAAAGAGATAAATGAATGATCATGACTTTTCTAGTAGATAGAATAATGAAGCCAACGATAAGTAAACATAAGTATACTAATAACTATCATAAATATCTCTCCACACAAACAGCTCCACTAACAATTTCGGTCCTTGGCTTGTTCTTATCACTCTCCCCGTGCTTCTTTTTGACAACTTCCTCCAACTTTGCCTCATCCCAATTCTCCATCGTGTCTAGGATTAGGTCAAGTTAGATGAAAAAATACTCCAGTATATATTTTAATAAAAAAAATAACACATATAGCGCAAATTAAAATGGTGAGGCTATTATTACAAAATTTTTAACTTATTGGCCAATAAAATTATCAATCTAAATCCACCTCAAAATCATGGATGGACAACTAATTAGAATCCAAATTTAAGTCCCTTAAAACCAGAGATGTGTTGTTCACACTTACTCACTAAATACTTCCCTAATTTATTATTTATTTTTCCCTCACCCATTCACTCACCTTCATCTCTCTGATCATCATAGAGACTCCTCTTTTCAGCTTTCCTCTCGATTGCGAGGTCGTGACTGAATTTGCACTTGTCACCTTTCGTGCACTGACCAGACTTGAAGAATGCACAAAGGACTGATTTGGGGTCTGTGCCTGATCAGTCGTTGATTAGTCAGGATCAATTAGTAAATCATTCAAATAACCAATCAATCAAATCTATCTTTTGATTAATGAGCCAATTACTTGAAACTAATTTATACATCAGTCGACGAACCTTTTCCAACTTTTTGTTCAACAGGTTTAAAAAGAGTGTTCAACTCCTCAATGGCCTTTTTCTTTTCATCTTTCTTTGACATTTTGTCTTGTTTCTCTTTATCCTGTGCTATCTTTTTGGAATCAAATTAAATTAAATATGAAAGGAGAATTAAAAAATTTAAATCCCGCTAAAACATTAAAATTTAATTGACATAATTATTTACCTTATTTACTAACCAAACTCAAAACAAGGACAACCAAAATTATCCAGCAAAAAGAAAAACTAATGCAATTATTAATTTTGAAATTAGTAACCAACTTGTTTGGCAGACTTTCCCATCTGACTGACTTGCTGTTGAACTGTTTGTATGAACTTCTGCTGCTTTGCCCCCTTTTTATTTTTCATGCCAAATGTTTTATCCTGAAAAAAAAATTAGGCAAAGTTTATTTAACTAACACATTCTTTTGCTTTACTTCTTTATTAGTTACCACATCACATCATGTCCATGTCCATCACAACATCATCACTCAATTTACCAATCCCAAATAATGAAATAAGTACCTCAATAATCTTCTCCTTCTTCTTCATCTCAGTTTTTTTACTGGGTTCTTGTTTTTTAGGCGGCATGTTTGTTGTACTTTTTACTTAATAATGGTGATGAAGATGGTGATGGAGTCAACTAGCCAACTCAACCAGCCAACAAAGTGTGAAAGTGATTCAGCGAATCTAGTACAAAAACAAGAGATTGGTGAATATCAAAATTTCATAAATCATCAAATTTTTTCAACTCCGTTCGCAATCGCTTGCACAAAAGAAAAAAAAACTGAGAAATCAACTCGAAAAAGAAAACAAAACCAATGCAATTTATTTAACTGGCGAAGGAAGTTGCAAAACTATCTTAGAAAACTAAAAGTGAATTCAAGTTTTAAACATTATCGCGAGTTTACGTCCGTTAAAATCCACACGTGCGTATTCAGAAACGACACAAATAACCAACATACATGGATATAAATCCATGCCAACATCCAGAAATTTATCGGATTTGACTATTGATCCGGACAACAAAGGATAAATAATAAAAAGTCAAAGCAATCATTCAGCAGACTAACCGAAAAATTAGATGATCATTATTGTCATTTTCGTATTTATTCATACATAGTTAAATTCGTTAAATCATTAAATTATGTATGCAAACCATGGAAAAGATTATAAATAAATGGAAATTAATAAGAACGTTAAAAAATAACTGATAATTATTACATATATAATAGTCATTACATTATTGTTATATATATATATATATACATGTATATATATATATATATATATATATATATATATATACATATCGATATTATTAATGATATTTGACATTAATTCTGATTAAAACTGAGCGCATAAACCATATGAACACGCCAACATTCACACAAGTGTATTGTATATTATATGTATATGTATATATATATATATATATATATATATATATATATATATATATATACACGAATATATATTTAAATAATAAAAATGTAAATGAAATTTCTAACTGTATAGTTGGAAAGTGACAAAATAATATTAATTATTTATATTATAACTATAGCATTCATTTAATAATAAAGGGTTATCTGCAACACACACACACACACACACACACACACACACACACACACACACACACACACACACACACACACACACACATATATATATATATATATGGATATAATGGATATATATATATATATATACATGTACATACATATATAACAAATGATGCAAAATAGTTAAAACATTACAACCAGGGAAAGCAAGAAAAAATTATAATAATAATAATAACAAAATAGTATCACTAAAACCAGAAATAATAATAGCAATAATAATCGTACTAACTATAAAATACAGAATCTGTTGCAGACGCATTTTTTATCGTAAAAAGGCCACAAGGGAAGCTTAAACGAGAGAAATAAATATATAATAAAATTTAATGAAACCGCATTATATTATAAGTAAATTATATTATATTATAATATTAAATTATATTGTTATAATAATAGCAGAAATAATAATAATAATAAAGGAGATTTAATTAGACGGCTTATAATGATAAAATTAATGAAAGCATTTGAAAAAGCATTTGATAAATATTTTCACTGAATGAACATCGTAAAATATAAAACGTTATTAAAACCAAGTTAAGGACAGACTAAGCGAATCAAATTCAGAATGATCGATTGATTGAATGAATTAATGAATGAAACAAATGAATAAAAAGGAATGAATGAATGATTGAATGAACGAACGAACGAACGAAGCCGAGATGATCGCAAACAAAAAAAATGAACATTTTGGAGTAACGTGATATTTACATTATAACTGGAGAGCCATGTTTTATTACATCCAGGACACAATATAGCACATATTCGGTTGTACCATACTTTCTATATGTTCGCTCGTTCATCGAATGTCATTCACTCATTCATTCGTTCACTTTTTCATTCATTCACCTTTTCATTCATTCACTTTTTCATTCATTCATTCACTTTTCTACTTCTTCAACCATGTTCGAACTCATGAACATTCACCAATCAATTCCATTTAATGTACCTCATTAGATCATCAATTTACTCAATTATTATCATTCATCCATTCTTCTATTCATCTTCCTATTCATTCATTTCTTCACTCCCTCAATCACTCTTTCCCTCATTCATTCATCTCATCTCACCTCAGTCAGTCACTCAACATCATTCAACTCATTTACATTCGGTATAATATTGGGATAAGGTTCATTGGCCATCATGAGCAGCTCATGACCTCCGATGACATTACCACCACCACCACCAGCACCGCCACCCACCACGTTGCCGCCATTGCTCCCACCACTTTCATCCACTCCATTCCCCAAAATAGGCCCCCCTCCTCCTCCCGCAACGATGACCCCGCTATTGTTAGCGGCCCCACCGCCCCCACCAGAAGCGCCGACTTCTCCGTGGATATTATTGGACATGGCCTCTAGAAGGTTAGTGACCGATTTACTCTTGACACACTGGAAATCGACATGGCGGCTTTTGGCTTCCTCTTTCTCCCAGGACATGTGTAAGAAGGGACGCTGGACGTAGTTGTAGATGACTGGATGGTGGTGGGTGAGATGTTGTTGTTGAGGTTTTGTGTCGTGAAATTGTCGCTAGTTTGTTGTGTGAAGATGTTGTAAACAGTTTAGGTGTACTGTACATAGTTGAAGTGTACAGATGTTGTTGTTGATTTGTGTCGTGAAACTGTAGTTAGTTTGTTGTGTGAAGATTTTTTAAATAAAAAGTATTGATACGACAATCAATCCCATAAGAATCACCCCACGATTTAACCTTGACCTATCACCCCAATTTAACCTTGACCTACCTTCCTGCCTGCCACCAGGCCTTCTCTTTATCTTTTCCTTGTACGTTGGGTAGCCTGTTTTGGGAAAGTTCATAAAAATTGAACAAATAAATAAATGAATGAAAAAAATACGTGTATATATGTATGTGTGTGTGTGCGTGTGTGTGTGTGTGTGTGTGTGTGTATTGTAATCATGTATGCACTATGCATGTACATTTTATGTAAGTTGAGTGTGTGTGTATATAAGTTTGTATGTACGTTGCAAAGTTAGAGATATTGTTTCAAGTTGAAACTTGAACGAACGAACAGAACGAACGAACGAATAAACAAACGAACGAACAAACGAACGAACGAACAAACAGACGAACAAACAAACAAACAAATGAACAAACAAACGAACAAACGCTAACTTACCTTCAATACCAAGTCTAATTTTTTTTAATCCCCTATCACGGAGAACCTGTTTGGCGACGTCTCTATTCTCTATGTACTTGAAGAATCTGTACATATGAGTACTGTGGATAACTGCAGAATGTGTGTCAATTATCATGGCACTAGTAAAGTATTATGTCAGTAGTTGCCGAGAAACCAGGCTCAAATGATGGAAAGACAATCAAAGAGATCATATTCCTAATTGTATAATTTACTTTCAATTCAATATTCATTCATCCATAATGCCATTCACTGATTCATTCACCCACTCAACTATCAAGAAAATCAATCCATCCATCAACTAACTGCCTAACTAACCTTGGGGGCACTCGTCTCCAAGATGAGGAGGGTAGTCCCCGTCCCAGTCGACCACATCCTCATCTGTCAGGATCACAATGTGGCACTCCCTATCTCCTCTCTGAGGTGGCGAAGAAAATGAAAATAACGATGATGATGATGCAGTATAATAAAACATTGCACAAGTTATTGCAGTACTATTAGCATTTCATTTGCATTGGTAGATTAAACGACATTAATTCATCATCTTGGCCATCAACATCATCATCATCAACAGCATCATCATCATCTTCCTCCTCGTCACCACTGACCTGGGCAGAAACCACCATCTCAGGTAAAATCATTTCCTCGAGAAAGATGTTAAACTGCTGTCTGGCACCGTCATTTGACAGCTCATGCAATAAACCTCCTGTTGTTATTGGTCAGTTGTTTGAATGATTGATCTCATTGGCCAGCTGATTTGATTGGCCAGCTAGCTCATTTGAATGGTTGACTTGTTTGATTGGTTGGCTGATTGATTGGCGTGCTGATGAATAAGTTTCTTGATTGAATGATTGATAAAACTGACTTAGATTCTGGCACTTGATGCTGGCAGCATTGAATGGAAGTAGGAGGTAGTCACATGCCTCCTTCAACTCCTGGATAGAGACACTGGGGGGGCAGCGAATTGTACCAGTCTTGTAGTAATCCTAAAGTAAGTGGATTGATCAATAGACTGAATAATAAAGGAATGAACTATTTAATATTAATTTGTAATTATTTTAGGCATGAGCAAATTATTAAAATAAACATTAACAAAAAAGAGCAATTTCTTGGGATTCTTTAAGAAACAATAAAAAAACAAAAATGACAACATACCAGCACAGCCCTGAAAATGGTGGATGAAATTCCATCTGCCACTCTGTACTCTCCTCTCTCATTCATTCGGGTTAAGTTGTTTTCGAACGGGGTTGAAAACATCCTGAAGGCATCGTTACAGCAACAAATTGGACTACAACCAATCATAACAAACAGTTAAAAAACAAACAGACCAACTAACAATCTAGAAAATCACTAAAACAACTACAACAACAACAACAACAAACCTTCCAACAAAACATCCTGAAGGCATCGTTACAGCAACAAATTGGACTACAACCAATCATAACAAACAGTTAAAAAACAAACAGACCAACTAACAATCTAGAAAATCACTAAAACAACTACAACAACAACAACAACAAACCTTCCAAGCATTGTGTCAGGGTGCAGCCTAAACATTTCTGGCTCAACAATGAACCTGCACTCATCCACTACCAAGGTTACACGATCAGTCAATCGTAGCGCGTTGTTACTGGTCATAGTTGTGACTACAGGAGCAATGCCATTGTTGTTGCCGGAATATGTTGCCAAATTGTTGTTGCTCATCGCCATGGAGACAACATTTTGCTGTTGGGCATTGTTGTTGTTCGAGATCATGGTTGTTGTTGTTAGTGTAATCGTGGTGGCCAATGATGATGAGGATGAGGAGGAAGAGGAGGTGATGGAAAGTTGGCTGAGAGAGGATGTAGCCCCTATTGTTTGCCAAAATTTTTTTAAAAATCGAATTATTATTAAAAACAAAACTTCATTTAAAATCTTTATCACTTCAATTAAAAATCATATAAAGATTATAAATTACCAATAAAAATAGTGACAAATGCCAAACGATGATAGAAAAGTTTTTAAAGCACCTTGCTGTTGTTGGGCTTGTTGTTGCTGAAAAAGCTGCTGATATGGTTGTGAAAGTTGTGGTGGTTGTTGATGCTGCTGCTGAAGACGATGATTGGGAAGAGGAGAGTGAGGGAGTGGTGACGGCAGAGCTAAAATGTACATAAAAAATTTAAAAAATTTAAAAAAGTTAAAACATTTTCTTATTATTCAAAATAAATTGATAGATAAAAATATAAGAAAAAAATTCATTAACAATAAAATATGAAATAAATCCATAGATAACAAAATATCAAATTTAACCATAGACAAAAAAGTATAACTAACAAGGCTGGGGACTTAGTCGATATCTGGACTTGAAAAAATTTCTGTTGGCTTGAAGTGACCCTAACGCAGAGTTTTCTAAGTAGTTCGACGCACCACCTAGCGCATCGCAATTACTCTCTGCCTCACTGTTCTCCCCACTAGACACCCTCTTCACTAAAATTGATTTGTTCTTTGGGGTACTTGTCGAACTGCTGGGTGGTTTTTCTTCATTTTTAATCTTAATAATTTTATCACTGCTCTTATTCAAATATAATACAGATAATAGTATTTTTAATAATGTTGTTAAAAATTGTTAAATTGACATGAAAATCCATTAATACAAAAACCTCTAGATGTATTTGTATATATATATATATATATGTGTGTGTGTGTGTGTGTGTGTGTGTGTGTGTGTGTGCAAATACAAATAATAATACACACACATACTCACATGGAATGCTTAATACAACTTTTACGACTTTCATCAGCCTCTGAATATTCTGTATCATCACTGCTGTTACTGTCATATTGACGTCTGCCATCTTTACAGCGTCTGTAGGCCATGACGAACAATTCTCTGCTACATAGATAAATCTTATGAGGATTTTAGAATCTGATTAGATTGGGCAAGGTAGGCTAATTTCCTAGAGAGCTAGAGGTATTATATTCTTCTTTGAACTTTTAACGATCTAATCTTACGAAATATTAGTAAACAATTACTGTGAGAAACTTCTAATATAAAGTTTTGTTTAATTTTAAATTGACTGTTTTATAATTTTTTAATTCAAAAGATTTAAATTAAAAACACAACAAATCAAACAGCATTTTTCAACAAATCGTCACCAACGCCATTCCAATTAAATTGAAATCAAAATAAAAGTGGAAAAAACAAAAAATAAATACATTTTATTAAAAATATTGATTAATAAAGTAATTGAAACTAACGTTTGCTCTATAAAAGACGATATTTAAATAAACAGATTTGAAAAATCAGTCAGCCATTGTTATTTTATCTTATTTACTGATGAACCAAGGACAAGCAAGTCAAGAATTAATATTTTATTTATTTTTATAAACATGTCCTTAGAAGCTTAGAGTTATAGTTCAATACTTTATTTACACATTTCATTTGCTTGCATTGTTGTCGGTGCTTATTATACATAACAAATTATACATTTTTATGTTCAAGAGAATAAGTCCCACATGAATTAAGTGAAAAACTGCAAACATAATTTTCTATATCAAACAAATTAAGCAGAAGCTGATATAAACTCATGAAATATTTAAATTATAACATGGTCATTTGAACAAATATATTGGTTTTTAATGTTTAGTCTAGAGTCATCATACACAAATTATTTGCTACTTTTCCCAATTTTAGAATTTTCTTTTATCAAAGATTTTATCCAGCTCGCAGTTTCCCCACATTTTCCATTATCGTTTAAACTGTAGATAAATAATTCTAGCTTTTGATCATCATATCCCAAGTATACATCTTTATATTTGTTCATTTCACAAATAAAATCAACAAGTTCTTTGCAAGTGTTTCCAATCATTTTAAAACTAACTGATGTCTGATTGAGTTTAATATTTTTAATTATTTTAGTTTTCAAATAGTGGCTTATCATTTCTACTTCAATTTCTTTCTCATTTTTTGGTGTTATTTCATTTTTCTTAAATTTCGTTGTGATATTCCGTAAATATGATGATTTTTTTGAAAAATTTTCACAGTTTTTGCATTCATTCAATATAGATTCTCTATCATATGAAAGCTCTAACTCCTTTGACGTCTTGCTGATAATCTGATCGACTTTCGTAATGAAAGGATATTTGACTAGTAATAAATTGTTAAGGATGTTAAATTCATTTTGACTGTAATTCTTTTCAAACTTGAACCTTATCGTTCCAGTATAAAATTTTGCTTGCAATTGTAAATTACTTTCATGTTCCGAACGTTGTGCTCTAAAATTTGTAAATGCCTCCTGCTGTAATGAAAATTTCAAAGCATTTTCTTCCCTATCTGTGTGATCATTCTTAGTTTGTTGCACTGTTTCCGGTGAAGTGTTTTGAGTGTATTTTAGGGATTTGCCTTTTTCTGTCCCTAAGACTGGCCGAAGAATTTGTCTAATCGTTGGGGTTGATGGCGTAAATGCGTTCAAGTGTGAATTATTTACGTTGTCGTTTGAATCAGTAGTTGTTGTTTTGGCTAAGTTGTTGGACGCATTATCATCATATTTACCGTTGGCAACGCTACTACCACTGTTATAATTATCTTTCCCGCTATCTTCTGGTGATGATGATGATGATGATATATTATTGACGTCATTTTTATCCTTAGAAGTTACGTGACCTTTCTTATCACCATTTTGGTCATTCTTATCATCATTGTCATTATCACCAATATTTTTACTATCATTTCCAATGTTTGAAAATGATATATCAAAATTTGAAACTTTTTTCGACGCCTTTTTTTTATCATTAGCCAATAACTCCATTTTAAGATTAATTAGTTCGCTTTTTATTCTTCTTATCACGCAAGGGGGTCCAACGAGTGTAACGTGGTTTTTTTTGGATTTGCCTTCACTACTATTTTCCTTTGTAGCCCTGTATTTCCCTAATACCTCCATCAATTTCTCTTTGCCATTCAAGTCGGAGATTTCGTCTAGAAACGTTCTTTTTAATTCGATCGTCAAGCTGTCAATGACCTTTATAATATAAATAAAATGAAATGCATTTATTTCATCAAAAAATAAAATTGTTAATTAATCTTATCCAAATTTACTTAATTTATTTTATTGAAAAATGAAAAAAGCGGAAAACTGGAGAAATTAGTGAATTTTCAATGAACAGAGCAAAATCCAGCAATTGTCATTTACGAACCAGGCAATCAGCCATTCCATTACAGACGTGCTCCGTCATTTTTCTCACTTATCTAAGTAGTAAATTCACTTCAAAACAAACTCAAAAAACCTATTATTTTGTTAACAAGCGAAATTTAAAATTTCACTGGAAAACCCAAACTGAGTCATTAAGGAAATTCCATAATTTCGTTTTAAATTAGGTAAAATAAACCAAATTTAAATGCGAAGATATTTTGCAAAAAGAAAAATAGAACAAAACTAACAAAAGAAAGGAGTTAATAATAACAGTTACAAATAAACATTTGTTTGATTGTGAGTAACTTGGAATCATTAATGTATTTACAGTATGATTTCTATTACAACAGATTTAATTAGCCACATATATAGGTTACCAAGTGTGCTTGTATGCATGTTTGTATGTGTATGTATGCCTGTATGTATGCCTGTGGTGTGTGTATCTTTTGTTTGTTTTAGCAAAGCAGCAAAGTTATTGATCAAATGTTTTCCTCTCCCATGTTCATTCCTTCATTCGACTATGTTCTTCTGGAACAATAGCATGGGACTGATATTTTATGTGAATAATTATAGTTAAAAAAGAAAATATTATTGTAATTATTCGAAAAATTTTTGAATTTACGACTAACCAATTATTTAAATTAGTTGATAAACCCAACAGAATTCCTGATAGGATGAAGGTAGATTTTTGAAAAATCAAATTCTTATGTATGTATTTATATTATATATACATAAGTGTGAATTTATGTATGTACGTTCGTGTGCGTGTATGTATTTATGAACGAATGAATGTGTGTGTACGTGTGCGTGTGGTGTGTGTATGTGTGTGGTGTGTATGTGTTTGTGTGTGTTTTTGTAAATAAATATAATTTGACGATATAACCGTTCACAGCCCAAGAAGATCTCGAGGAAATTGAAAGAAATCACCGAAGATGTTAAATCCAAAAAGAAGAAAGCCTCAAAAGAGGAAGAAAAATCCAACGACGATGATGAAGACGACGACGATGGAGAGAGTAGTGATAACAGTAGCGATGACGACTGTAATAATGATGATGGTAGTGGTGATGAAGAAGAAGATGAAGAAGAAAAAGATGAAGAAGATGAGGATGAGGAAGATAATGATGATCAAAACGGCGACAATAGTGATGAAGATGAGAATGTAGAAGAAGAAGAAGAAAAAGATGATTGTAATGCTGATAGCGAAACTGATGACGATTGACAACAATTTTGACGGCTTTTCTCAAGAAATAAACAAATTATCAATTTTGAATGCTTTTAAACAAAAGTTTAACAAAATGAATAAATACTTAAATAAATAAATAAATGAATAAATAAAGGCAGATAAATAATGGTGCATGTGTTAAACTCATAAAACTAAACACACACACACACACACACACACGCACACACACACACACACATATTTTCTACATATGTATCATGTATATCTATCACATCATGATCATATATCATGATACAAATGTATCAAAATTTAGTTGCGTAGATTAGATACAATACGCTACATGTTAAATGATGTTATATTATCTAGGTTTTACATTCTGAAAGTCGGGAATTCCAATTCTACATCAGCAAGCCAGAAACAGAATGTTGGAAAAATTGTATTTTCGAAGCCATTTTTTTCTCTTAATTATTGTTCTTTCACTAATTCGTGTCTACAAAATTTTAGATTTTATTTAGAATTAGTGAATTTTTGTTAAATTTACGTAAAATTTGATCGATAAATGGTAGTAATTTGAATCTAATCCCAAGCTAACACAAGAAATTCTAATGAAAGAACTTTTTTTAATGGAGGAAGCTGAGGTTAGAAAATTTTTAAAAAGATTTTTTTTTATAAAAAATACCCTAAAAAATGAAAGTTCAAAAAATATTTTAGTGAAACTAATGATAAAATTAAATAAAATTGCATATATTATATTTCCTTGGAGTAACTTCATCTTGATTTTCTTCAAACAGCTGATAGACTACATCATAGTTCCATTGAAGAAATCCTTTCTACTCAAATACGAAATTGATGAAGTATTTTTACACGAACAATTCGACTTTGGGACCGTTGAAATTTTAAAGAAAGATGGCGCTGGTGATAAAATCTTCTTGAAGGGTAAAATAGAGGAATTGGAAAATTTGAGATCTAAACTTTTGGTAATCAAAAAAGAAAGAGATGACGCTTTTTCCAATAGGAAAAGGCTGGAAAAAGAACAAGACAAAAGTACAAAAACGAAAAAAAAAACTAAGGAAAGCCGTGGTGACGCAAAGAAGTTGAGACCCAGAAAAAAAGAAAAATTACACAACTACGATGATGACAATAACGATGAAGAAGTTGATCGGATAATTGCTGAACTTGAAGGCAACAACAATACGTACAACAACAACAACAACAATATGGACAACAACAACATGGACAACAACAACAACAATACGGACAACAACAACAACAATATGGACAACAACAACATGGACAACAACAACAACAATACGGACAACAACAACAACAATATGGACAACAACAACAACAATACGGACAACAACAACAACAATATGAACAACAACAACAACAATAATAATATAAACATCAACAACACCAATAATAACAACGACACCGACAAAAAGAATAATGACGATATCACAACAGCTACTTCTGCTACTGCTGCTGCTGCTGTTCTTGCATCTATTGATGAAAATGTTGGTGATGATGTTAGCGTTGCTGGCACCAAGAGCTACGAGAACAGCAATAACGCTAACACCGATGAGAATGATGATTTTCAAATTTTGCAACCACAACAACAACCCGACCAGGAAATTCTATTGGATCAACTACTGCAAGCAATCCAACAACTACAACAACCACCACTAACATTTCTAGAACTCTTGCCACTTGCCCAGCAATCGTTTGCAACGCCATGGCAATCTTATCCACAACCAGACCAACAACAACAGCAACAACAGCAGCAGCAGCAATCAACTCAAATGTTCATGATGCAGCTGTTGAAAACTGCACAGCTCAGCAAAAACTTTCAACATTTAACAGCAAATTTGCAACTCCTAATTGACTTGCAACTGAATCAACATCGACTGCAAAACAGGCAAAAGATGCAAGAAAACACAAAAATTGACGGAGAATTCGAACAACAACAACAACAACAACAACTTATTCAACACGAACAGCCAGACTCACTCGTCAGCGTTTCTACATTCAAAATGAATGTGAGCAGAAATAACGTTGAAGACATCACAGAATCATTCATGAAACTTAACATCATTCCCAACAACAACAACAACAAGAACGACAACAACAACAACAACGACGACAACAAAGACGACAACACCGATAACAACAATAACAGTAACGACGATGACGGTGCTAATACTACAGAATCATTCATGAAACATAACATCAATCACAACAACAACAACAACAACAAAAATCACAACAACAACAACAGCAATCACAACAACAACCACAACAACAACAACGATAACAACTATAACAGTAACGGCAATGACGGTGCTAACGCTACTAACAATAATGATGAAAATATTTGTCTGAGTGATAGCAACGTACTTGCTTATACCAATGACAACGATTATGATAAAAATACCAACACTGCTACTACTACTACTACTACTACTAATAATAATAATAATAACAATAACGATGATGATAACAATATAAACAACAACAACAGCAACAACAACTACATCAATCACAACAACAGCAGCAACAACAACAACTACATCAATCACAACAACTACATCAATCACAACAACTACATCAATCACAACAACAACAAAAGTGATGACAACGAAAGTGGAGGCATTATAACTCTCAATGATAAAGAAGTTAGTAGTGGTAGTAAAAAAGGTAGCAGCAGCAGTAGTAGTAGTAGTAGTAGTATTAGTAGTAGTAGTGGTAGTAGTAGTAGTTCTAGTAGTAGTAGTAGTAGCAGTAGTGGTAGTAGTAGTAGTAGCGGCATAAATGGTAGAAATGAGTTGACTATTACGACTTTTAATCTGAAACTAACGTTGTGTGAAAATAAGCCAATCAGAAGGAATGTGGCTTTGAAAAGTTTAATCAGCAATAACAGTCAAAATAACAGCAACAACAATAATAATAGCAACAACAACGACAACAGCAACAACAACAATAATAATAATAACAATATTAGTAACTATAATGATAACATGAATGATAACGAATAATACAAGCAGCTTGTATTATTGACTAACTTCTAAATTCTTGACTAACCAACCAAAACTAACCAATTAACCATCCAATCAATTAACCAGAATCAACCAAACAATCATTCAATCTTCGAATCAACCAACCAACCAATCAACCAACCAATCAAACAAACAACCAACCAATCAGCCAGCCAACTAATTAAATTTGATGTTTTCTTATTTAATAATCCTTACAATCTTCGACGCTTAATTTAATAACATTCAGACACTGTTGTTGTTATTCCTCAAAATTTTATTCTTCTAAAATGGAAAAGATTAATTAATTAATTAATTAATAATAATAAACATTAATAATAATAATAAATAATAATTATGACAACGAGAACAATGCGTTTAATAAATTATTAACAATACGAACAATGAAAAATAAATACGGGCGAGTCGGTCATTTTTCCTCCGACTCCTTTGATAGTAGCAATGATGATACTATATCACGATTAATATCAATAATATTACCATTATTGTTGTTGTTCGTGTTTGAATGAGTAAATAAATGAATGAATGAATGAATGAATGAATGAATGAACGAACGAACGTGTATCTATCTTATTTTAGATTGAGATACAAATAAAATATACGTATGCAAACACACACCTATAAATAAATAATTTTCTGTTTCCATCTTCTCTATTGGCAATAAATGTCAGATAGATAGATAGATAGATAGATAGATAGATAGATAGATAGATAGATAGATAGATAGATAGATAGATAGATAGACAGATAGATGAATGAAGGAATGAATGAATGAATGAATGAATGGTTTGAAATTAATTATTAGATAGAAAGACGGAACGATTAACTGAATGACATTTATATATGTAGATAATTAACAAGGAATGATTCGTGATAGATTGATTAGTAGATGGACAAATGAATGAATGAATGAATGAAGGAATGAATTAGCGAAAGAATGACTGATCGAACCAGAGAAGGAACATTTCATTGGATGAATGAACACAAGAACGAATGAACGAATACACATTGGAAAACAAAAAAACACATACATTAAAAATATAAATAGGTGATAATTCAGTATTTATAGATGTAATAAAAACTATTATAAAAGTAACGTAGTTATACTCAGACACACACACACAACACACACACACGTACATACAAACAAATATATAAACAAACAAACACACATACATACAAACATACATACAAACACACATACATACAAACATACATACACACACACACACACACACACACACACACATACAAACATACTCTTATCATCATATATACATATAATTGCATGCCAGAGTCATTATCGTTATCATGATAGCTGTTATCTCATTCAACATTCTCAATTTCATCATCAAAGTCATCATCATTATCAGTCAGTCATCATCATCGTCGTCGTCGTCGTCGTAAATATAATTATCAACAGATATAAAAGCAATGAAGACGACGATGATGAAGTTAGTCAAGTATAATTATTATAATTATAATTATTATTATATATTGGTAGCATTTTACTGGAAAACTACGAATGAATGAATGAATGAATGAAGGAATGAGTGAATAGAAAAAGATTAGTAATATCACCCTTACTTTCATTGTCATCATCATCATTATCATAACAGTAACAGCCAAGAAGATTAAAATTTTATACGTAAAAAACACATATTGTAGTACCTACCTATTCATTAAATAACTTCAAATAGGCAGACATTTGCAATTAGTAAACCGTTCTAATCAGGCAACATCAATCAATCAATCAATCAACCAACCAATCAATCAACCAATCAATCAATCAACCACCAACCAATCAACCAATCACGGCCCCGCCACTTTCCCCACCACAGCCACCAGTGGAGCTCTTAACGACGATCATCTCATCTTCATCATCGCCGCCTCTAACGACGACCATGTAGCTATTGTCGTCGCGATCGTTTTGGTGGTACTCGGCTCGGTGCTTCAGAAGCGAGCGATGCTTGTAGAATGTTTTGCCACAGCACTTGTAAATGTTTTGCACCTCAGCGCCGTATGGCTTGCCGTGTTTGATTCTCTGATGTCGAGTCAGATGGTCCTTCCGGAAGAATGCCTGAGAGGTTGGAGGAGATGTTATAAAGTAGAATGGCCATAAGTATAATTATTAAAATCATGTTTAACCGAATCGTAAAGCCATTCAAACATCCATTAGCTTATTCATACTGCACACATACATTATTAATAACTTATCACTAAGTCCTATATTACCAGGCCTAAATCTAATCAATGGACCGCCCAAACTTGGACCCCTGCCCTCACTAATTTACTGACCTTGGTACATCCCTGGTACTGGCATACGAATGATTTCAGTCTGTGACCATCTTCATCGTAATCAAAAATATCTTTCTTGTGACCTTTTGTCTTTGATGTTGAACTGGAGGTGGATGGCGAAGACAATAATTTTGTCATCAGTGTAGTTGTTGTTGTGTTGTTGTCGTTGATGTATTGGGAATTATTTAGGTTGTTGTTGTTACTTGTGGCGTTTTTTTTGTTATGCGACGATGATGACAATGATGATGAGGATGGCGATGGTGGAGATGATTTTGTGATGTCGTCGTGGTGATTGCCAATGTTATCATTGTTGTTTTTGCAGATGTTACTGTTGCTGTTGTTGTTGTAGATGTTACTGTATATAGACCGACAGAATGTTTCTAAACTGTTAGTCTCATTAGCTTCTCTCTCGTCCAACTCACAGCTGTCGTTGATGCTGTCTTCGACATTGTTGTCGCTAGTATTCATGCTATAACTGTTGTTGTTGTTGTAGTTGTAGTTGTTGTCATTATTGTTGTTGCAGTTGTTGTCATTATTGTTGTTGTAGTTGTAACTGTTGACATTATTGTTGTTGTAGTTGTTGTCATTATTGTTGTTGCAGTTGTTGACATTTCCATTGCTCCTGCTAGCAGTATAATCATTTTCCAAATCTTCAATTTTGTTGCTGTAGCTATAGATGTTACTGCTGTTGATGTTGTTGCTGCTGTCACAGATGTTGGTGATGTCAGGTACGTTGCTATCGTCACCATCTTGGCCATCGTAGTTGTCATTATGATAGTTCTTAGCTTCAAGATTATTAATGTTATTGCAGTTGTTGTTGTTGGCTTTATTGTCTTTGCTGTCGTCAGTAATGTCAATGTCGTCATTCGCGTTGACGTTAATGTAATTTGATGACGATGTTCGTTTTCGAAGATTGTGCAGATGCTGACGATGTTGGCTGCAGGTTGCTGATGTAGATGTTTTAAATGAACAATCAGTGCTATAAACTTCTGAACTTTTTACCTTTGTAATCATAGGAAATTATACAATTATATTAACTAATTATTTTTGTATCAACAAGAAATTATATTATAAAACAATAATCAAAGCACATACATAAGCACACACACACTCACACACACTCACACATGCAAATCTAACCTTTTTATGGTTATATTGATCTTGGCCGATTAATTCCAGTCGCACATCATCATTATTGTTCATTCCTTCATTAATCCCTAATTCAGACTGGCAATCTCGACTGTCAAAATCAGATTCACTTTTTACTGAGATCAGCATAGAATCATTTAGTGATTTATTATCATTATCTTTGGTAAATTTTTCAGTGCATCTGAGGATATTGTTCATGGTATTATAATTATTGATTGAAATAGTTTTAGTATTGATATTATTATTATTGATATTATTATTATTGATATTATTATTATTATTGATATTATTATTATTATTGATATTATTATTACTGTTGTTAAGGCTGTCAAAGATTTGATTATTAAAATCGCAGTTAATACTGTTTGTGTTTATGCTTGAATTGAAAGGTGATGCTGCTGAAACCATGCCACTAAAATTGTTCAAACTTTTTAATCTTTCATCTTTTTCGCCGAAATTCCTCCTACCATCTTTACCACGTTCACATACGTTATTATTTTTATATAAATTATTATTATTGTAGTAGTAATTGCCTAATCTGGTACTTTCGCTAGTGTCTTTTGTTTGATGGAAGTGCTCATTCATTTGAACCACGAATATTTCACTGTCTACAGTGACGGCCAACAAGCCTTGAATTTTTAATTGATGTTGAAACAGGAGGCCGTTTCGACACATCGTGTAAATTGTGTCTGCCAGTAAATTTTTCATCATCTCAGGCTCCACATTCATCAATTTTTCCATCTTTAATTTAATCTTTACTTTTTTAAAGTAAAATATAATTAAATTTAATTATAAAAATAATAGAACAAAATTAAAGCAAGGGTATAAAAATCTTAGATTTGTCGTAAATTTAACGATTTTAATCTTAAATAATGACAATTATATTATATTATATATTTGTTTATATATTAATTATTAACTAAAAACTTTAAAAGTAAGTTCACTTTTCACACAGATGGCAAATCAATCATGAAAAGAATCAAGCTTGGGCTTTGAGACTGATATGTAAATGTAAAGAAGTTGTAAAAAGTCATAAAACGCTAATTTAAAAGCGCCTAACAACTAGAAACATTATTTTAACTTTAATTTAACGATCCGATTAATGAAACCGGCAAATATAATTAACTAACTTAGCTTATCATAATAAAATAATAACTCTATAAATGCAATTTTTTAAACGAAAACGAAAATGCGATAAGAAGGAGCAAAGATATGAAACATGGCTAATCTGTGTTATCATCTCTATGCTTCTATAAATGTAATTTATTCTACAAATATCATTTAATATCGTGCTTAAAGTGATTAAAATTGCTAACAAAATAGGAAATTTACAATTTGAGGCCATGGATATATAAATCCATCCATGTGTGAGACACGATTACTTGAATGCAATGCAAAAAATGAACCCGTTAAAAGATTTCATCGCTATCATCAGTTGATCTATATCAAATCATTCAAAATCGCAGTTATTTTTTATCAAATATCATGCTATATTTATCCATTTATATTATATATATATATATATATATATATATATTTATTTATTTATTTATTTATTTATGTGAAACTACCATTTAAAATTATCATCGACACTTGCAAAGTTTAAATAAACGGTTTTAAAAACGAATAATAAAGCGCCTTCGTCAACTTTCGTAGTTCTTCAATAAACTTTCACCAAATTTCCAAGCCGCCATAGGCCTAAGTCTCTAGCTTGCCCAGAAGCCCCAGTCCCCAGTCTATATGAGGCTAGAGCTTGAACGTGTCCTTCATTTACCTGTTGTGAAATTGAAATTGTTGTGAGAAGGTGCATGATTGAGGCCTGCTTAAAGTAAAAATGACAGCGTTTTTCATCCAAAAACTGGTTTCTTCATTTTCTCATTGAATTTTTTTTAAAAATTTATTAATACTTAAAAGATTTTACAATAAAAAATTGTGCTAAAATTTGGAGTTTTCTGATTAATCAATCGAACATAAAACTGCTGTTTAAACATTTGTCTAATAATACAAAATGAACAAAGGTTCTACCGAGATTTGAACTCGGATCGCTGGATTCAAAGTCCAGAGTGCTAACCATTACACCATAGAACCGGTGGAAAACTCTTTCATAAGTATGTTCATAACGTAAAATTTTCAAATGATATTAATGTCTGGAGTCCGTTTCATGTTTGTGACGTGAAACTTATCGGTTTTCTTTTGTAAAATACAAATTAGAAAAAGTTTAAAATATTTTCCTATACAATTATACATATTTCATCGTATTTTGAATGAAAAAAATGCGTTTTTTACGGTTTACAAAAGCAATTTCACGTAATAAAATTTATTAATAAATTAAATTAATAAACAAATCATAAATGTTAAGTTAAGTAAAGTTATCTAAGATTTGGATGCTTCTTTTCATGAGACTCTTTCTTAACGGTGGGATGAATTTACCGTTGTTGTTGGTATGGTCCATGACGATGTCACATCCTCATCGCCCTCGCCATCTTCGGTTAAATTATCCTCAACATCCCAACATTCGATCCGGACCACATCGTCTCCGCAGCGTAATTTTTTACTCTCGGCCAGTAATGGTTTGGAAAAAGGTTCACTAATTGCAGAGATTGAGTCGCCAATTTTCGTTGACGGATTCTTAAGAGAGGTTGACATTTTGGCACAACTGCTGGCTATGGCTACGTCGTCGGTCTTCGTCGGTTCGGTTTTCTTTATTTCTTCAATAAAAAACTCCAAAATTTCTTTCCCTTTTTTAATATTGTTGTTGTATTGTTTTAAAACGAATTTTTCGGCGATATTTTCCAATCCGAATAGTGACTTTACGTCCATAGTTGCATGTTGATGGAAACAAGTCCAATTTAGGTTATCTGGATGGATCTAGAAAATTTACGGTAATCATTTCATTGGCTCATACATAATGTTATATTTCTAACAAATAGTTCCTCATTAACTGTCAAATATTTCAAAGAATATTCTTACGTAATAGACACAATGTTCGGTGACTGTTATTTTTGAGGAAAAACTTTCGTTGACAGCATCAATGTTGAGTGTTTTCAAATCCCTGTTTAAAACATTCGTCTGAACGAAAACCATTTTATCGACGTTGAGAATCTGAAAATAGTTAATAATTACTAAAAACGCTAGCATGCAAACGACAAAATGTCACTCAAAATAAGTTACTTTCTTTAATATAAGTGGCATATCGATCGCAAAATAACACCTCCTAACGATACATTGTTCGATGCCATCGTCAGTCTCTCGAACGACCTCACTGCCACAAAATGAAGGTATCTTATCGCACACGGGGAACCTTTTCTCGTAAGCCTAATTGGTGAATGAAAATAAGAATTTTCCGCAAAGTTAGCATCGGTTTTCACCATATAAATAGAATTCTTTTTATATGGTCTCCATAAATAATTCAAATTATAAACTCGACATACGACAAATTGCACCCAATACCTTCATGACGGTTTCGAAGTTGTGCTTGTAAGTCCAGACCGGAGAATTATACTGTCGTACCATATTTTTGAAATCGTAAAATGGATGTTATCCAAAATGTTTTTAATTATTTTTTTGATGTTTTGATGTGCGGTGTAAACATTTCTACTTGTAAGCGAACGTCATTAGATACAATGGTCTATGCAGCCCACGCAACGACATTCAAAAATTGCAAAACAGGAAAAGCAGTGAATATTGAACGGCAACAAACAACACCAAACCGATCACTTAATCATTTATTGAGAAAATGAAGACAAAGCGTTGAAAGAAAACATTTTCATCTTGATTAGCAGTCTTTATTTTCACTCATCCATCTTATTAGATTCTTGATGGGTACAAAAGCTGCAAAAAATATAATTAAGAATTATTGATAAAAGTTGTAGCACTTGTTTTGTAATAAAAAATACAAAGGCATTTTTTAAAGATATGAAATCATGCCACAGATGCTACATGCAAATGTCACTCAAGCACACACAAATATTACAATCTATTAATTGATGGAAACAAGTCCAATTTAGGACTTGTTTCCATCGTACATCCCATTTCAAGCAAAGGAAAGTACAAAAAAATTGTTAGAAAAGAAGTGTTATAAAATAAATAACTACTGTTACAAAAACTTGTTAAAACACAGCAGCCATGAGAATCAATAATGAATTTACAAAATTCAAATCATTAAATAACCGACCACTCTAATTCTTCGTCCGATAGCCTTTGGTGGCAAGTTGCTTTTGAATTTGGCCCTCACAGCTCCACTGCTTCCATGTGGACGAGTAACTTTGCCCCAGATGACTCTCAGATGAGTGGCCTTTTCCCGATTAGGACAGGCGGTCTTCCTATGTGATGAAACAAAGCAGTTAATTTTGTTTCCTTTTGAAACCAGGATTTTATTAAATTTAAAAAATTTAATGCTATATTAAATTCTAAAGAAACCCAGATACAATTAATTGAGGCCTTACTTTTTAGCTCTGTAAACGTAAGCGCATCTTTTGCCCAAATAAAAATCTGTTTCTTTTTTATTGGTGACTCCATCAATTTTCAAGAGAGCTGTATTTTCATGTTGGTTCCTCAGGCCACGTTTGTATCCAGTAAAAACGGCTTTCGCATAAAGCCTGCAAACAAAATATAAATTATTTTATTAGTTATCAATCAAGTCAGGAATGAGCGATAATTAAATTGTACATGTCTAGCGACAAAATAGTGATTTGGCAAGCTTAACCTAACTGAATCCAAGCAATAAAGTTAGTGAATTATTAAAAATTAATTTACGCAAATGCATACGAACCTTCCGGGCTTCTTGACTTTAACTTTAATAACTTTTTTAGTCGACTCACTCATCGCGATCTGCCTGCTCTGTTCAAAGGTATTTTAAACATTTAGTAAGGTCGTTTAACGAAATAATTAATACTTTATTAAAAAAATAATTTAATTTGCAAAAATAAATTTACATTAAAGCGATTAAATTAGATTTCAAATGGCTACCAACAAAAACAAAAAACAACCCAACCTAGCGGTACGTAGGAAAAGGAAAAAAGATAGAAAACATTGATACGTTAGAGAGCTTGGTCTCAACGAATATTATTCAGTTGAAGTAAATTGCCATATACATATATGGTTATGTTAATGATATTTTTTGATAAAACTACATATTTTTAATTTTATTTAAATATTGTCTTAATTAACTTATATAGAGTATATTCTATATATATGTCCTAATAAGTTTTTGAATGTAAAATCAAGTCTTTATAAATTTTTTATACTATCGGTATGCAATAGTTTGGTTTACTTTTTTCTTCAAACACATGTCCAGTTTCACTTTCTACTTTAATTGAATCAAATATTAATTTAATTTTTTGTTTTTCCTTAATAAAAAAATTCGAGTCTTTATCTGTAGTCATTGTTCGGCATATAATATTATTAATTAAGTTATAATGCCTGCTCAATGTTACATATGTTCCGGAAAGGCAGTTTTCAAAAGGCCTAAAAATGTGAGTAAATCACTAAATTAAAAATACTACTAAAACTAAAAGAGTAAAACTAATCTCACTAATAATAAATCAGTCAAGCAATCTTTTTTCAATTTTATTTAATCTTAAATCAATTATCAATTTTTTATTTAGTTTTTAATTTAAATTATAATTATAGTATTATACTATTTATTTAATTTATTTAGTTAGAAGATTATTCCATTTTAAATTAAATGTTCTCTTGTCAAGAGCCAGGCAATATGTAAAGAATGTTTTTTTGAAAAGTTTGAGAAGGAAATACACGAAACCATCATTAATAACAAAATATTTGCCAAAGGAGACAAAGTTGCTATCGGGGCCTCTGGAGGAAAAGGTAATATTCTGAATTATTACTAATAATAAATTTTTAAATCTGCTTTTGCTTTTTTTGGCTCTTTTCTCTGGAACTCTCTACCTCCTTCTCTGACTGCTTCTTCATCACTTGTGAAGTTTAGAGCGGATCTCAAGACCCATCTGTTTGCAAAATTCATTGAGGAGCGCTTTATAAACTAATTGATTGATAATATTCACTTTCATTTTATTAATTTAATTTGGTAATTCTATTCATTACTTCACCGTGCTTTTAAAGCATTAGTCTCTAAATGACTAAACTTAACCCCAAAATTTAGATTCAACAGTTCTGGCTTATGTATTAAACAAATTAAACCAGCAGTACAAATATGAAATACAACTTGTGTTGTTGTCAATTGATGAGGGTATCAACGGATACAGGGATGATTCTCTAGAGGTGTGTATTTAAAAATGTATGTGTTTTGTATAATATGCATGAATACTTATGTATGCTTATGTATGTATGTATGCAGGCTTGTATATATGTATGTATGTGTGTGTGTGTGTGTGTGTGTATGTTTTTATTTATGTATGTACGTAAGTATGTATGTATGAACCCATAATTGATTAAAACTATAAGGAAATAATAATCATATCTGGGTTCAGCTTTAATCTATGTTAAACAGTATGTATGTATGTACGTACGTATGTATGTATGTATGTGTGTGTGTATGTATGTATGTATATGTATGTATGTATGTTTCTTAATGTTCTCTCTTAATGTTTCATTTATCAAATGAATGACAGACAGTAAAAAGAAATGAGATTGAGTACAATCTGCCATTGAAGATTCTGTCATACAAAGTTTGTCCAAAATTCTAACTGCAGTTAAATGCTTGTATTAATATTAATCGTTATTATTATTATTATTTTTATGATAATTAATATAAAATAAATAATAATAATATAAATAATAATAGTAATTTTTATCGTCTTTAGGACTTATACGGCTGGACAATGGATGAGATAGTTAAAGAGATTGGACTGAAGAATAACTGTTGGTCATAATAACTGTGAATAATATTAAAACATAATACTAATAATAAGTAATTATGATAATAATATATAATAATAAAAATAATAAATAATAATAATAAATAATAATAATAAATAATAATAATAAATAATAATAATAATCACAAAGGTACATTTTGCGGTGTATTTCGGAGGCAGGCATTGGATCGAGGTGCCATGATGTTGGACTGCAATAAGGTTGTGACAGGTTTGTAAATTATTACTTAATAATTATATTATAACGATAATAACAACAATAATAATAATTATTATTATTATTGTTATTATTATTTTTCTTCTTCTTCCCTACCATTAGGCCACAATGCAGATGACATAGCTGAGACAGTTATCATGAATGGCAAGTGATTTGTTTCTATGATACTAAAAACTCTATAACTACTACTACTATTAATTATTATTATTATTATTATCATAATATTAATAATTATAATTATAATTTGAATAGTTCTGAGAGGCGATGTTGCGAGGTTAAGAAGGTGTATGGCCATAATGACGGTTGGTTCTGCTCGCTGACGAAGGAATATGAAAAGACTAACGATGATAACGATGATGATATTGGCAATGATGACGATGACGACGATGATGATAATTATATTAATAATAACGACGATTATGATGACGATGATGACGACTATGATGATGATGATGATGATGATGATGATGATGATAACAACCAGGGGTCAGAGGGCACGCTACCTAGGTGCAAGCCGTTCAAGTACACCTACGAGAAAGAGATAGTGATGTTAGTGAGAGAGTGAGTGAGTAGGAGAACGATGATGATGACGATGATTTGATGATGATAGCGATGATGGTGATGATGATGATGGTAAACGGTGTTCGTGATGGTAATGATGTTAGTAAATGATGTTTATGATGAATGTTTTAAATGGTTTTTCTGGTAACACTCGCGGTGAAATTGATAACGATCGGTTAGAGCAGCATGAATGATAATAGTAATGAAGGATTGTGACGTCATCCAGGTACGCCTACTTCAAACGCCTTGATTACTTCTCGACAGAATGTTCTTATTCGCCGAACGCTTACAGGTGTTTTTATAATTATATAAATTACTGATGACGACGACGACGACGACGACGATGATATCACTAATGCAAACAACTTAATGATGAAGCGTCACCAAGAAGTCGAACGCACACCCAACCTTATTTCGCTTAATTCTATCTTTTTGACATTCAACAAATTGTTTCATGTAAAATTATTTTTCCAAGAGGAAATGCTAGAGCGTATATAAAAGATTTGGAAAGAATTAGGCCGAGTTCTATACTGGGTCGGTTGGCTGGTCGGTTGGTTGATTGGTTGGTTGAATGGTTGATTGTCATTATCATCACCAGCATCGACATTATTATCACCATCCTCATCAGATATAATTTACTCTGGCGAAAGTTTATCATTCAAAGATGACGTCAAAATGCCTACACAAGGTTGGACAAATTATCAATCAATCAGTCAATCAATCAATCAGTCAATCAATTACAGGAAAGTGTTCGAGGTGTGAGTACGTATGCAGTCAGCCAATTTGCAAGGCATGCGTTCTTTTGGAAGGCTTGAATAAGGGTCTGCCTAAGTTAGTTGGTTGATTGATTGATTGACTGATTGGTTTGTTGATTGATTGATTAATTGCTTGATTGGTTGTCCGACTGATTTACTTCAAAGATACGGTATTGGGAAGCATCACAAGAAGAACAAACAGCAACATCAACATTCTACAAGTGAAACTTCCTATTGAATTGAAACGGCGTCTTCTTATTTTACGATTAACTTTTCCATCATTTCAATCCACAATTTTTAACATTTCGACCGTTCAGAAAATGCAGGAATGTTTCAATTTTGTAATGTTTCGCTAAAGTTGGGGTAAAGTTTTCTCGTTATTTCGTTCACTCGTTCGTTCGTTCATCCGTTCGTTCGTTATCTCGTTTGTTCGTTCATCCGTTCGTTCGTTCTCGTATTCTTCATAAATATATATGACCTGACTAATTAAAAAACATTAAATAAAACTTATAAAATAGGATGGGTAATTCGCGGTGAAACCGTTGGAGGAAATTAAGTCATGGCAGTAAATCAGCTGGTATAAAGGTTATATTCAATTCCTATCAAATAAATTTTACCAAATATCCTACGCAGGCAAATCTAAATACATATATATATATATACGTAGTTTTAATACATTTATAAAGTTGTATTTACACATTCAAATTGTACAATTGTGTTATGGTGTAGTCTCAAATTATTTTGAATTCTCTTTGAAAATATTAAACTTTTTACTATGTACTAGTTACGTTATCAACAATTTAAAAAAAATTTCAATTCGATTTCATCGCGATATCGATGATGATGATTGTGACCTGATTAAAAAGCATCAAAAATTTTTTTTAAATAGGATGGAGAATTTGTTATATTGGGATGTTCGTATATAAAGCGAGCAAAATTTTAATATAAAAGCGCTTATAAATCTACGCATATTGGCTCGGCTTGGCTTGGCTTGGCTTGGCTCGGCTTGGAATTGGATGTCAAGCAAGGTGTGGTCTCAAACTATTTTGAATTCTCCCGAAAAATTTGAACTGCGTGCGTACATGTGTAGTACTGATTACTGTTGCTTCTATAGTGAATTTATATTATATATTATATATATATATATATATATATATATATAAAGTCACTAGAATCTATGTATACAAATAATTAATAAGATTATATGTTTATATAAAAAGAAATATAGCAGATTCAACCAGCCAATCAGAAAATTTCGAAGGCGTTCGTTCGATGACGTCAATTTAGTACGGTTAGCATTGTGGTTAAGACTGTATAATAGTGTAGCATATACATTAAATAAGTTTTTTACCGATATGAATGATTGAAATGATTAAAATGTATGGTTGAAACGAGTATAAATAGGGGCTGAGACAACATCCAAGTCAGATCAGGCATTCTGCCTCGCTTGAAGCAGTCTGTCTGATCTCATTTATTTTATTTTTTAATTTTTATTTATTTTTTTATATAGAGTTATATATGTTGCCTGTGGTTTGTATGTTGTATTTTTTTATATTTTAGGTGGGTTCTTTAGCGGTTGCTCATACAAACATACATACATCATGTTTGTTTGTGTGGTAGTATTTTATGTTCTGTTTTACTCTTTTTTCTCTTTCTTCATGAGTCTTGAGTTAAGTTAATGAAGCATAGGTAGGTGAGATTGAGATTAATTTATTATATAGGTAGGCTAGGGCATAAGGTAATTTAGTTGCATAGGTAGGTTAGGGACTATTCTTTTACTCTATTTGGTGGTGTGTTTTTTGTTTTGTGTTTTTTTTTGTTTTGTTTCACACCATACATATATCAGGTACGCGGTGGTTCCTGGTTTTAGTGGGATTTTTATTGATTGAATGTGATAGTATGTATGATTATATAGAGTTATATAGAGTTATATAGAGTTATATAGAGTTATATAGAGTTATATAGAGTTATATAGAGTTATATAGAGTTATATAGAGTTATATAGAGTTATATAGAGTTATATAGAGTTATATAGAGTTATATAGAGTTATATAGAGTTATATAGAGTTATATAGAGTTATATAGAGTTATATAGAGTTATATAGAGTTATATAGAGTTATATAGAGTTATATAGAGTTATATAGAGTTATATAGAGTTATATAGAGTTATATAGAGTTATATAGAGTTATATAGAGTT